CATTCCAAACAACAACAGTGATTTCCATATTAAGAGTTTTCTCTCAAATGAATATCATGATGAAGATGTAGGAGGATCATTAATCACTTGCAGTAATTAGCCTAACTAAGAAATTATATTGCTTTAGTTATATGAAAAACAAAAAAAAAACAACTCAGCACTTTGAAGGTTAGAATAACACACATTATTGCATTTTTCCTGTTTTCATGATTTTTTATTACTTACAGAAACATCTGCATTGGTATATAACTTGGGTTTAAAGGTACACTATGTAATGTTTCTGGTGTTGTTCTGCCATCTGCTTGTCTCCATGGAGATGTTATTGCTTTTTCGGTTGCTTCTCTACTTACATGTCACCATTGAAATAAATAACTTCAATGTCATAATGTGGCACATAAGCAAAGCAAAAACATCTTCATAGACACAAGCAGGGGACATACCCTCTATCATAAATGTTGCATAGTGTGCCTTTAAATCAGGTGGAGATGTATTTGCAAAAGCACTCCCCACTTTCAGCTGGTTATGTGGGGAGTTCAGAAGGAGATCAGACAGATCATTCATCAAAAACTCAATATAAGTTCTAAGGTTTGGCCAAATACACACCAGATGCCGATTAAATTAGTATAAATGAGTGGAGTGGGCTGTAGGTGGATTTAAAACAAAAAACAGGAGGAGAAATGCACTTAAGGATATTGCTTGAGCCTATATTATGACTTTTGTATAACTATGATCACAGATCTTGTTGATCTAAAATCAGCATCTTTTAGATCCTGTTCTAACTACCCAGGTAAAATTTTTGATTACTCAGAGAAGACCATTTTGAGAATTAAGCAAAGTATAACTTATAAATTAACTTATACCAGATATGTCTTTAATGGGGGAAGACAATATAACATGGTTAAAATACTTTTTTTTTTAAATTGACATAATATATGTTCTTTGACCTGTGATACACATAGCAATGTGCCTCTGGCACTTAATTCATTAATCCAGTAATCAAAAGCGGTCTTCTCTGTGCACTCAAAAACACTCAGTTCAGTTTGTTAGCAATATAAGAACCACACTGGAAACCCAGAGTGCACAGCATTCATTTACCCATTCAAACAGACAAAATTAAAACATACTGAAACCCAACCATATAAATAATATAAATAAGAGTCTGTTTGAATTTTGCATAGATTGTTGTATTACAGTTGCCTCAGATCCAGAATACACATTTCTTCAATAATTTACGAAGATGTGAGTCTGGTCACCGCTGAATCTCCCTCTTTTTAAATGATATTTAAAATTGATTTTATCTGTAAATGACAAAAGACTAATGAGCTTCTTGTTTTCACATATATCACTGAAAATAAATAAAATTTGACCGGGCTTGAGACGCAACAGAGGGCACGGAGGCCAGACTGATAAAAGCAGAGAGATATCATTATGGATTTGCCAGGCAAGTGTTACAGGTAAAAATCTGGACTTCTATGCCCATAAGACGTCACCAGACTTACAGTCCCTGAAAAAAGTCTTGTCGCTTATCCAATTTATAGAAACTGACTTTAAATTAATCGATTGGTTTTAGAAATGTCTCATATGAAAGCTAAAACCCTCCCAAATTATGCTCAATATACTAAAATAAATTTGCTTCACTGAAGAAAAATTTATCATTTAATGAACACAGAAAGGTCAGATTTTGGCAAGACAAAAGTTTTGTCGCCTACAAAAAATTGAACAAATAATTTACTTCAAAAACAAAAATATGTTGCATAACATCAGTGAATTAAGTAGTGGTGCTGTGAGATCCATATTTAATATCTTGTATGACTTCCATGAGCTTGAAGGACTGCATCCATGCAGTTCAACAATGATTCATACAATTTGTTGATGAAGTCATCAGGAATAGTAAAGAAAGCGTCTTACATGCCTCCCAGAGTTCATCAAGATTCTTTGGTTTTGCCTTCCATGCTTCCTCTTTCATTCTACCCCAGACATATTTAATGATGTTCATGTCTGGTGACTGGGCTGGCCAGTCCTGGAGCACCTTGATCTTCTTCGCCTTGAGAAACTTTGATGTAGAGACAGAAGTATGCGTTGGAGCACCATCCTGCTGCAAAATTTGACCCCTTTTATTGCCTTTTGGTTGGGAATGTAAGAGGTGGAGCTAATACTTCTTGATATTTTAGGTTATTAATATTGCCTTCCACCCTGCAAATGTCTCGCACAGCCCCATACTGGATGCTGAACCCAGACCATGATTTTTCCACCACCAAACTTAACTGTTTTCTGAGTGAATCTTGGATCCATGCGGGCTCCAGTAGGTCTTCACTGCAATATTTGATAAATATTAATATTTTTTGAAAATGAAATATATAACATGTGTTCTTATGAAAATACACACCATTTTTTGCACATTTTAAATCACAATATTCATCTAAAACGACTTAAAAATAAAATAAAGAAATAAAAGAAACAAGTCCCCTGAGTTGCGGGGCTCTGTGGGAGACATTGACATCAACATCATCACAACAAAGAGTAGTGAAGCCGTCAGCGCATCTGGTGGATAGCTGCAGATCATGTAAATAGATTTTTTTTTTTTTTTCATTTGTTCCAAAATGACGAATTCCACATGTATCACCGATTAAGAAAATACCATTGGAGAGTGAAGTAAGTAGTGAGCCATGGGCATATGAATGACTCTAAATACAACTTTGAGAGGGTAAATGAGAAGGGGAAACAACTATAACTTGGTTAAAAGTTCTAAAACTCAGTTTTGCATAAAAGCTCTGCTTTATAAGTCAATCTTGAAAGGTTGCACTAGTGATGTTGAGGGGTCGGTCAAATGCAGAGAGCAGATATCACCATGCCCAGGGGATCAAGAACATATACCTTGACCTCAAAATATTATTAATAAATTAACAAAATATTTGTTGTGCATGGTTGGAGTATCTTTTATGTTTACATAATCTAAAATAACATGCTGGAAATTCTATTTTCACTTTCAAATAAAGTTCTGTGTTAAAGTCACAGTGTTTTTTTTTTTAATGATATAGGACACTTCTTTTAACCTTGCACAGAAAGATGAATTCTCACAATATTTGTGAGTTCACAAACTCATGAAAATCCATCTTGGCATGCTCCTACTGGTGCGATAGGGCCCGCCCGCTGATGGGTGGATCAATCACAGAGCAGTATTGAGGTCTTTGTAGAAGTCAAAGGCGAAGTGCCCAAATAAACCAAAACAAACATGGACAGACATACAGTACTTCAGCCTGTTTAAAAAAAATAAAAAATGACTATTTTCTTTCTGCAAAATGTGTAGAAGGTAAGTGCATTTGTGGACAGTGATGTCTGGGCTTTTCTGTCAAATGGATGTAGCAAAAGTTCAAAATGTTTCAGAAAGTTTTGGAATGTTTGGAATACAGATTGGTAATGTGTAAAACGCAATCTGGAGTGAGCCAGGTTACTCTTCTCTCCTTAAACAAAGTATGACTTAGACATCTCAACGTGATACCATTGAGTCACTTTGTCCACTCTTACTTGTCAGGCAAAAGTTACTGCTCACGTGTAGTCTTAGTACTGACTTCTACAATATTAAAGAGCGCCCAGCAGTGCATGACATTACTGCAGTTGATTCCATATTATCAAGAACAGTGGGTGTCGTCTAACCACATAATGATGGTTTATACAGATTTCACAATTGCCATAGCAATGATAAACTAAGGTGAAGGGATAGAAAGTAATTATTGTACTCTTAATTAACACTGTCACTAAGTAACAGATTGTATGGTATACATATAGGAGGATATAAACAGGCTTATGTAGCCTACACAAATTGGAATATTTGTCCCTTTTGCAACAATTACTATTTGAGTTTTAAGTACATTAAAGGCTTATTAAAAACGGAATGTTTCAGATACTATTTAAATGACCATTGATTTCAGCTGTTCGCATCCCACCATGGAGGTAAAGAGAGGAAAAGAGGAGTCTGGTGGAGGAGTGGAGTGGGCAGGGTAGGAACCAGGGACACTAGGGACAGTTGACCACTATAGCCTAAGTTATAAGAAGGCTACAGGCTGAAAGCAAACTGAAAAAAAACAAAACAAAAACTGTTATTTTGGTTTACACTTAGTCTTAGACAAACTTTACTGATCCACAAGGAAAATTATTTGGCTTCAGTGGCTTCACACATTAAAATATAATAACAAAGAACAAAAATGTCAACAAAAAGTGCTTCAAAATAAGTAGCAACATTGGCAAGATACTGGTGTCAAACAATGCACAATAAAGGTATATAACTGTATATGTACAAATACAAATATAGTAAATAAAAAGAGGTGGGATAAGAAGAAACAGTACAAAGATTTGCTCCCTAAGATCTTAATTAATAATAAAACGACAGAATCTTATTTTGCAATGTGCCAAAAGACGGAGCTTTTATTAGGATATGAAGTAAGTCAATTAGCCTAATGGCAATGCCATTTTTACAATATGCTGTCTACTTTCATATTGAATCTGCCAGTGTGGGAAGGATTTTTGTTTGCTAAATCTTTCTTGTGCGTAATAAGCGTATCCGTGTGGTGATGTAATAGTAACATTTGAAGTTGTCTCTTGACTATAATCAGCGGGAGTACACTTGTTGATTCCGGACTGGTTCACTCACTCTCAGCCTCATTACTCACTCATACATAGCAGCGCGCGGCGTCCGTCTCCTCGCGCTCACACTCTGTGTTGTGACAGGCTACTGCCTCCTCGCGCCCGGGTTCCTCGCGCCCCTGCTCTTCTCGCCTCTCCTCCATTCTCCTCGTGCGCTCTCGTCTCCAGCGCGCTGCTCTTCACCGCCGCTGCTCGGAGAACATTTATCACTCCACTCACAGGATTGTGCCGCTCCCCGAGGCTCCGTGTTTTTCTCCACACTGTCGTTTTTTACTTCGCACAGGTGGGTGCACCTCGGGGCATGAGCTTGTTTAGGGTTTAAACTTAAGTCTAGCTTTGTACATTTTGCACGTGTTCTAACGCCCCTGGCTTTAGTTGCAGCACTTTGAACTTTATGTTTACGTGGAAGGCTTGTGGGAAATTTTGGGTAAGTTGAAGCTCTTTTGATCAGCTATTTTTACAGCTTGTGCGTTTTAGATAGGCCAGTATTTCTTTGCTCTTGAGTTGAAGTATTTTAGTGTATGTCCAGCCACTAGCCAAGGCTATTGGTTTTTAAGATGTCACTGTAGCTGAGATCCATAAAAACAAAGCATATTGTAGTAGCCTGCCATCTCCTTTCATGAGATGTAAGCTACTTTGTATATTTTGTATTTATCGACGTTGGTTATGTAGCAGGTTAATAATTTATGCTTTTACATTTGAATTCCACTAAATGCATGCATGTTTTTGGTTAAGTCATCAGAGCATCATCATTTGATGTTAAAGCTACAGGAAAAAATAAAATAAAATAAAAAGTATATTTCCACAAAATCCCCAGACAGGTTCTGACCTTGCTACTATAGCCTATACTACAATCAATGCTAAAACTAGTACTGAATCTAGATACTCATTTGAACAAGTATCAGAACATTAGAAATGAACATTTCTGGACTAGCTTTAGAATGATCTTGAGCTGTATCAGAACAAGTGTAAGAGCACATAGACTAGTATATGCCCATGTACCATTATGGATAATACCTATTACATGAACATTGTAATATAAAAGAAAGCACTACTGTTATTTAATATTGAAAATCACTTTTTATTGTTGAAACAAATTGTGTTGTTTTATTTTCATTGTGGTGTCAGAATCTTGTATCGAGTCTATTCCTTAGTATCGCAATCAAGTTTAGCAACACTAGCCTCTAGAGAATTGATAAGGGGGGCATCCACGTTGGCACTGTCCACCTTTTAACCCACTAGAGACCCTATAGACCCATTATGCGGTAAGGACCTTTAAAGGGCACACTGCTCTAGTTTTCCAATGCATTTATTTACAACCAGGTTACATCTATCAGACTCCTCCACCACGCACGCACACGCACAAGCACGAGGCTTAATACATGACTACATGACACTATTATATTTGACGTTAAACCTAAATACTCCTGTCAATTTCTTTTCATGCTGATCAGACAGTTAGCTTGATCAATGACAAGGTTTTAGCCCTATATCACACAGCTAGTATTGATTTTACAACAAATCTCTCCCGTCCCCTCCCTGTCTCTTTAAACTACACCTTTAGAAAACTCTGCTCTTTCACATACAAAGGAAATATGTTAAAGGAAACATATTATCCAAAAAGGACTTTGATGTGTTAGTCTTGGTCAGGACGACAGTTGTCAAAAGTAGGGCTGCACAATAGTTTTAAATATATAAAAATATTTATATTGCAATATCGGCTGACATAATAATCCATATAGCAACTAACTCGATATTTTGCAATGACATCAAGGTTCCAATGTTTATGTTTTATTATTATTGTTTCATGTTAAATAAAGCTGATTTTCCTTATTCAAAAGTAGCCTTGAGTTGTTGTTTTTTTGTTTGTTTTTTGATAGACTTTCACTTGTAAATTAAAGCATGTACTTTCTGTTTTATAATAACTGAAATTGTTCATTTGAAAAGTATTGTTTCTAAATATTGCAAATAACCTCTCTATTGCAGTTCTTTACAATCATATTGTATATTGCAACATATTGTGCAGCCCTACTCAAAAGTATCAAAACTAGTTACTCATTCATGCAAGACAACACAGTCAGGACTACCTTAAAAAAGAAAACATGCAAACTCACAGTATTGTATTGTCCTTTATTTAAGTCTTCCAAGATATTAAATCATTGTAAATCAATATTGTGGTTTACAATTAACCCAATGTTAAATAATGCTGATGATGTTACAGATTACACCAGAAAAAGCGATATATGTATTTCTTTTTCATAGTTTCTGAGTATACCAAAATAACTGAGCATGGATAACATCGTTTAAATTAATTGTAAATTTGAAAAACCATGCAAGCACAATTCTAATACTTCAAATATTTTTAGAGTCCATGTTGTGCTACAGCAGACCTGGACCATATACGACCCTTTGTTTGACTCTGACTGGCCCGTTTAAGGTCATTTGGAATTACAAATTAAACATATTTTATAATTTTATCTCATGCATGGAGTAAAGCTGCATTGCTTTTATTTTAGAGGTGTTTTTTTAAATTACATTTTTTGTAAGGCAACCTCACTTTTTCATTGCTTAGTCATGACATAAACTCTTACCTGTCTTACCAGCTTGTCAAAGCAATTAATTACAGGTTTGTTTGTTTTTTCAAATAAAGAAATACAATTAATATTCTCAATTAAGTTTCTCATGTGGCCCCATGGAAAAAATTATTGCCCACCCCTGTGCTACAGTAACCATCTTTGCTCTTCATGGTATGGGAAGTATAATATACTCAACATACCTGTGACTGCGCTGAAACCAAGAAATCTTTTTGAAGTAACATTAGAACAAAGTAAGTCCATGTTTGAGGTCAGTGCAAGATAAACGTAACACCAGTGAAGACTGAAAAAAATCACACTTCTGAAAAAGTCCTGAGGCTGTACTGACATTTGAAGGTTGCAATGAAGTGCATTTTCTAAAACTAGATTTGTGTCATTTTCTTGGTTGGAGGGTTTTCATCAACCAGAATTCTTTAGCGCTGCTGAGAAATAAAGGATATATATGCTTTTGTCTGCTATATACTAATAATCTATGACACCCATGAACATAATGTTATAAGCATAATATTAATCGAAAATGACATAGTAACAGAAAACATTCTGAATATAGGTAGCTGCAGAGCATGCCAGCAAGTAGCTACCGGTGCTGAAAATGGGGGTTGATCAAAGCAATGAGTTTTTGAATACATGAGAATAAAAATTACTCAAACAGGCATCAGTTGTGCTAAATACAACGTTGAGAAGGTAAATGAGAAGGGAAACAATTATGACATGTTTAAAAGCTCTAAAAAGCCCGCTTTAAACCAATTTAACCAGACATGTCCACCCTTTTTGTAGTAAAACAGAAGACATCAACATTTTGTGACCAAAATATTCCATCAGAAAAAAACAAAGTAGTCTAAGTTCAAACGCAACGGCCTTAAAGAAGAAATAAGGGGAAGACTGCCTTAAGTACCTCTTCAAAATCTTAACGTAGGATGCAATCTGCAATCATGTCACAGCTCATGCTTTCTGACTGTGAATGTGTTGAAATGAAAATATTGACAGTTTGTTGTGAAAGACTGCCTCAAACTCTGTACCAGTGTCATGCAGTGTCATAGCTATAGTAGTAGTATAGTTCAAATAATGTACTGAAGTCTTTTTAACTGCTAGTTGTTCTTGCTGCGCTGCTCATAATCACTTAATGTGCAAAGTTATGTAACCTCATATCTTTACTCTGCCGACAGTGTTTTCATCTATTGTAAATCCTTATATTATAATTTATCTTTATCTTATCTTGATTTTCAATTTTATGTTCTCCTGATGTTCTTAACCTTTGTGTGCAACACCGTAATTTCCCAATTGTTCGACAAATAAAGCTTTATCTTATCGTATTATACATTGGTCTTACTATAATTTTACATGTTGTAACCACATTTTGCTCCTATTCTCCAATTAGTGTAAACTACTCAGTCAAGTCCTCTGGCCAGATATTATTCCAGAGCAAGATTGACTAAAATTAGGTGCTGCTTAAAAGATGCTGCTTTTCCCTACAGGTGACCTGAGGCAGTTTGGAGGATTAGTCAAATTAGTTTAAAAATCCCAACATGGACAATCAAGTCTATATTCCAGTTTTATTATTATTACTTCCCATTTTTCTAATCTATCTAGTCATTATTCTGAAGAACATCTGTGGAGAATATGTAAAGGTACACTTTATTTTAACTCTACATACATTTTGAGAGCAATGCAATTTGCTGTTTGTGAACATGAGCTATATGATGAAATGAAATGCTATATAGCTGAACAAGACTATGTCTGTAAAAACACAAAAAAGTTAAAGTTTTGCCTTAAATCTACAGTCACAGAATTAAAAACAAAGTCCAACACAATTTAATTGCTATTAAAGAACAGTTCACACATTGCTTTATGAAAATGCATTATCTATTAAAAGCTGAAGATGTAGTCTTGCCAGCTTAATCGCAAAGTATAACAAGTGATAAAAGAGCATCAATCTTGATTCCGAATGGCACTGCCCAGTCCAACCTAATGAGGTTTTATGTGAAGAGAACACTGTGACAGGGCTCTATGACACATTTATTGAATTTACTGATTCACTGAAAGCTAAATATTGTTTTCCCTTTGTAATTTATTCATCGGTATGATTGAATTTCTATGGTTCATGGCCAGAGTATGCTGTATAAAAGCTAATTTTAGATATCCATTTCTCCACAGACTGACCTATGGAGACGTTTAGCCATGGAGACATCAGGGCCTCTGAATGTGACTCAAATGGACAATCAACTTGACACTCAAACCTCCAACTGCTGCACCAACTCCACACCGACCAACACTCCGTCATTTGTGCAGCTAGATGACAGCACCAAACTGCTCGGAGTTCAAGTCATTCTCATCTTGGCTTACAGCACTATAATATTTTGCGGGGTTACTGGGAATTCCTTGGTGATCTATGTAGTCTACAGGTTTAAAAATCTTCGGACTGTGACTAATTTCTTCATTGTGAACTTGGCTGTGGCCGACTTGCTGGTGAATACTTTGTGCCTGCCGTTCACCTTGGTTTATACTCTCTATGGCGAGTGGATGTTTGGTCAGATTCTTTGCTTTATGCTGCCGTGCGCTCAGGGCATGGCAGTCCATGTGTCAACCATCACAATGAACATCATCGCATTGGACCGGCACAGGAGCATTGTGCGGCACACAGAGACACGTATGTCCAAAGATATGTGCGCTCTGGTCATAGTCATCACATGGGCGGCCAGTGCTCTGTTGGCAAGCCCCCTAGCCATTTTTAGGGAGTATGGGAACTTCGACATTTCTCCAGATGAAACTATTCAGGTATGTTTCTTATCAATCCTTTGACTGCTGGAATGCCACTATGAGAATATGATGGTTAATTCAAACCTTGTGACTGTTCTTTCAGCCACAGATGGTGTGTGGTTCTACACAAGTCTTATATTGTCCATTGACACTGACTGACCTTTTAGATGAATATCCTTAAATCTTTCATTGTGTAGTTATTGTAGAATGTGGAGGTACCTTCAGGCCATATACTGTATATTGCTATATTTCGTACTGCTTTCTCATATTGAATTTTCTAATTTTGAATAGTACAATGGTGTGTATCCAAGAGACACAGGCAAGCTTTGTTAAAATTAACCTGGAGTCAGAGAAGACATTATCTGAAAAGACTGCTAGGCAGTGATTGCGGTATTGCTGGTTACTGATTATGGTTATGTTTAAAGTCTTGAAAGATATAGGATACTATTTTATTGTGGCATTTACAGTTTACCTAGGCAATTAAACAACTAATTATGATAAAGCCCCATTTCAATAGATCAAAAACAAGCAGTCAAGTTGAAAATACAAATAGGGAAAAATGACACCGAGCATAAACGGGAAACAGTAATAATCTTATCAAACATAGATTTTGCTTAAGGGACTGCTGTCTCCTATGAAAATAGAAGCCCTGTGTGTAAATATTCTTTCATATAAAGCTTAAACTTAAAATACTATAGGAATCCTGACATCTCTAACTGACTTTATGTGCATGTTTGAATGCAGTTCTGCACCGAGAAGTGGCCAGGCAGTGACATGAACGGAGGCATCTACAGCATCTCCATGCTCCTCATTCAGTACGGCGTCCCCTTGGCTATAAACTCCTTCGCCTACATCCGCATTTGGAGTAAACTCCAGAACCACCTGACCACTGGCTGCCGCAGCGACCGGCACCAGCGCAAACAGAAGACCACTAAGATGTTGTTCACCATGGTGGTGGTTTTTGCTGTGAGCTGGCTGCCCTTCCATGCTTTCCAGTTAGCTGTGGACATAGATAGCAGCGTTCTTTACATGAAGGATTTCAAACTCCTGTTCACCATGTTTCATATCATTGCTATGTGCTCGACTTTTGTCAACCCCATCTTGTACGGATGGATGAACAAGAACTACAGGGCAGCATTTTTGTCTGTGTGCAGGTGCAACCATCCCTTCAGCCTGAAAGCAAGCCATCTGAAACGCAGACGATTACCAAAGGATAAGGACATGCCTTGTACAGTTTGGAGATCAACTAACTTGTGATTACAAGAAAATGAATTGTAGCTGAACATGTTGAGCTCATGTACAGTAGCTAACAACTCACCCACATGCAGTATTCAAATAGGCAAACACTGGAAGAAGGAAAGATGTACAGCTGAACAGAAAAAAGGAAACAGAGAAAAAGGACACTTTTATGTAGCTTTGAGGAAACTGTTTTGATGACAGCCATAAACATCTTAGCTTAGCATGTGCTTTAGAAATGGATGTATATCTGGTAGTGTAGCCAAGGTTGTATTATAAAATATGGTTCTTAATCTGTCATGGCTGCTGTACATTTTCACAAGTTGCTTGATGCCAAACCATTACAAACTTTTTTCACAAACTATTCATTTTTTCTGATATTTCTCTTCAGTGACTTATTGAATTTTAACATGTGATTTAATTTGTCAATACTTTATCGAGGAATTTTAGGAAATATTGGAAGGAACGCTTAAATAAGTCCTTTGTTTGGTTTACAATACACTGTATATAGAAGGACTTAGCTAACCTATTGAATTCCACATTTTGGTTTGGTTGGCTGCTATATATGCTCTCTTCAACTGGCTTAATTTGGTTGCAACCAAAGATATGGTTGTCGTCATAGTTCCTTAGTCCACTTCTTTATATAATCTACAATCTACCCCCAGGTATGTTGGTGTAAGCAAGCTGGGCTAAACCATTGTATTATTATTATTATTATTATTATTATTATTATTATTATTATTATTATTATTATTATTATTATTATTATTATACTGCCTCCAGCCACCTACACAAATAAAACACAGGATCATGTCGCAAATGAAAAAAAAAAAAAAAAAAACTGTCAGTAAGCAAACATATACCATACCAACTATTATTACGCAGCCATTGAAGATGAACGCAACAAAATAATCTTGGTAGGATAATTTATATCAAGGCTTGTGCAATGTGTTTCTCATTGGCTGTGCAGTTTAAAAATACATGTATTTGGAGCAAGCATCTCTTTCTGTGAAAATATTGAAAAGGGACACTGTAAACTATAATTTTGATAAGGGGCACAGTTTTTAGTTTAATGTAAATATATTTTGACATTTACAAACTGTTTTTTGGGGGGTCAGTGGTTTGTAGCTTGGGCTTGACTGAGAAATAATTGCAAGTCAGTTTAAAAACACTGTACCTGATATTTACAGTTTCAAAAACATAAAAACAGAACTAGCTTATTTTAGCAACCATTAGCTTTCAAAGGTTTGGAAGTTATTCTTCACTACCTTATGCATTCCAAGCTTCCTAATTATTCACTGCAATGACTTTATAAGTGCTTTTCACAACATTCAGACAAGAGCAGTGTTTTGGGATCATGGTAAATCTAGCATACTAACGCGCACTTCCTGATTAACGGATAGCAAGGTGGTTTATAATTAGATGCAGCTTGCACACAGCGGTCTACCTAAAGAGATGCTTACACAATATATCTGTAGTGGGGCAAGACAGATTTTCATATATCTCAAATATTCGCAGATATATGGGAAATGATCTGGCCCTTTAAGTCGAAGCTGCAAATCTTCACACGCAAATCTTACATTCTGTTCCTGTTACTCAACCCTCTATTTCAGAAGGAACATTAAGGTTTTATATAGCATTTGTGATATTAGCAGCCATTAGTCCTCTGCCACTGTATACAGTTTTCCCATACAGGTATTGTATGCAACGTGCATAATGGTTGTAATAGGCTAAAAATAGAATAATGTCTCCCATTGGGTCATCAGAGTATGCTGTGTGTGTTATGCAGCACGGACATGTTCCAAGATGACAATGCCTCTCTGTCAGATAGTGAAAGAGGTCCAGGAAGAATGGGGCGTCATTTTGCTTGATAACTTTGTGCATAGGCTCTATCATCAATGACATAGGCTCTTGGCAAAAAGGGATTTCAGCTCTGGATGGAATGAATGTCAGAGTAAATGAATGCAGTAGTCAAAACTAAAACCAGTCCAAAATAAATCATTTGATGTTATAAGGCTATTCAGGGGACTTAAATTCTGTGATGTAGTCTATGGGTAAACTGGTGTCTTGTGCTTTAACTAGACTCCTGTCAGTAATAGTTGAGAATATGCCCAGGTCACTGTGGAAAGAAAAGTCCATTCAATGAAGAACCTGGCGATTTATAGTGAGACATTTTTCAAAGAGGCTGTATCATTTTTGAGTTCAAACTGGCCAAGGAGCTGAAACTGCCCTGAGGGGCGTGAGTAGAACTGCAAGTAATACCTACATATATTGTAGGGCTGCTGTAATGTGTTTACAGCTCACATTTCTAAACAGGTCATTTTCCAGTGCCTCACTATTACCAAAGAGGTTCAAATTTCACATGTCTTAGAACTTAATATTTACTGAAACACATTTTGAATTCAGCACCTCATCCTTTCTCTTTAAATGATAGTGAGTCCAGAATGGGGCACACACTCCATCCAGTTTTTTTTAATTAGAACTGTGGGGGGTTAGTGTACATCTCAGTATACATCTTAAAGTAAAGGAAGGCCAGCAGGCATGTTTTCTGTGTGGAAATGGCATTACACTATGGTTAACAGACACAAAAGAGTCTTTAAGAGTCTTTATGAGAGTAATGTGCAAAATTAATTTTTTTAGCTTTCCCCATCAAAACCATGCCTGAAGAGGTTTTAGAGGTCATCTATACATGTTGCAGTAAATTAGTGATGGGGCCTCTCCCTGACCCCCTATTAGAACCCTCCTTAGCTGTAAGCTGTAAGGTTCTGTCCAATGTTCAGCCCGCAAGCCTACGTCATCCGTGGTCTCACACAAGAATTCTCCACGAATATACAAAAGCATGACATGACAAGCATGAGATTAAACTTATAAAGCATGTTAATATGTTGTTTTCGGCTAATATAGCATTTTCAAAACACTAAAAGATAGTATGGTGATCTAATATGTCATGTGCTAGCAGTTAATGCCCCACAGAAGAAAAACACCTCTTCTTTAAAGGATGAGGATACAAGTCAATTTTGCATTGTGTCTCTTAAAAACACATCAGCTCTGGAGCCTGAGGTGGAATGTCATTAGAAGCTGGCTCACAATACGACTCACATTAACATCATTGTCTTGTCACGTGTTTGTTTGTGCAGCTTGAACGTGCCTTCCTACTAGAGCTATGAGCTGTTCCTCCCCCGCCCTGACCTGCCTTTGTTTGCACTGGGCATCCTAATGAGCACAATTTGCGTTCATTGTGATTACCACGGTGCTTGGGTTTTGGAGGGCCCTTCCTGTTAAACATGGTCCCACTGATTTACTTGGGTGTGTGTACGTGAGCATTGGAGACACATGGATATTAGGGCCCGTCTCCATTTTTAGTATGCCTACCATGGTGTATCCAGCGCTAAATCAATAATTGTTTCTTTAACAGCCTGATGCTATTGAACCACCCCTGTTGTTAGAAAGTCTACTCTCGGGAACAAGTGGCTGGTTTATCAATTAAACTGCACAAGCTAATCGAATTCCAACTGGATATCTGTTCTTACTGTGTAAAAGATCACTTAAGCCAAAATGATGTCTCACTTTGGAAATCCATGTTTAAGTATTAAAAATGAATGGTGTGTAGTCTGGATCTATTAGTCCCTATAATTGCCATACTATATGAAAGTAATTACATAGAGAAGTAAATGGCTCAGTGACAGTTAATTATTCAATGCATTATGCTTATTAAAGTTTATGGTGAGTCACTCTGTGTGGCTTTGCTGAGGCAGAACACAAAGGCTATTACTAATATAAAGTGTTATTCCATTATTCACGGTGTCACATTATGTTATTTTATTTGCCGCAGACACCTCTTTCACCATGTAGATGATAGAGACTGTGCTGGAAAAATAATAAAAACCTAAGGCCCTCTCTAATACTATTAAATAATGATTGTTTAGTCAATTAGTCAGCAAATCATTTTTTGATTTGTCAACATGTCAAATGTTTCAATTGACATTTTAAATAAATTATCAACGAAATAAAGGTTGACATGTGGTGAATGAAAGCTTCTAAATATGTAATATTTACAAATAAAGTGCATTATTTATGAAAATCAGAAAAAATAATATTCATAATAAAGAAATAATGATTCTTTTTAACATTTTAATTTAATAATACCACTGTCTTGCTATAACAAGGTATTTTCTTATGTATTTATGAATCCAGATGAAGATACTATTATCAAAATATAACTATATTTTTTAGTCGACTAGTCTTGATTAGTTAATTAAGTTTTGCAGCCCTACTGTTAAAATGTCTTTTTGAATAATATGACATGAGCCCCAGTACTCTTCATCCTGCTGCCTTCACTGAGGTCAAACTAAACAGAGACTGCTGCTCACTCTTGCTGAACTCCGAGGGGCTCCTCTTTAGCATATGGTGACCTCATGTCCCTATTTACCCTGGACAGTCCCAGTTCTGTCCCCTGTTCTAGAAGATTTATTGATTTGTCCCAGTTTTATACAAGACAAGTCCCAGGTGTCCTTATTTTTGACCAATCTGATGCCCTCCAACAATAAAGAAGGCGTAAATTGTCGTTTGTTGAGCTAAAATACTGAAAACCTTACTTTTAAAAACCTTGCTTTTTGATGCACCCTCAGGTGTATACCAACCCACAAATGAGTTTAGAATGAACAATATTACACACTCTTCTCTTTTATTTAGACCAAGAACCCAACCCAGGTTTTATACTTGATATAAATTGTTCTATTATGATTTAGGTTCTAAAGAAAAATAATGGTATTTACAGAAAACAATCCTGTGATGTTCCCTTTCTGATTTGTACCCATGCTCAACACTAATACACCACAATGTATTTTTGGCCATAATGAAACTTTTTAGGATCCAAATGTTTTTTTTTTAATCCCAGAGGGGAAATTCTTTCAACTGGAGATTTATTTTCTACTTATATGGCTCCAATACTGACGCCACACAGGCTGCTAAAGCAACACATTCTTTGACAGATAGGACAATGATTGGACTTGAAATGTTTACAAAATGTCTGTCTGTACTTTGTGTGAAAATGTATTTTACTGATGTCTGTATCATGCATGTGGTTACCATTAGGACAAAGCAATGTTATGTCATATTTTTGAATTGTTTTTTTCTGAATGTAGCTTGGAATCACTTGACACACAGCTTCTACGCTGCGAGCCTGCTGCTGTTGTCACTGAAGGTCAGACTACCTTTAGAAGCCATATTGTCTTTGTAGGACTGTGAAGATGAAAGGAAAGCAAAAATAAAGAAACTGCAATTTGTTTCCCCATGTGTGAGCATTCGATCCTGTTTTACAACTCAATATAATTCTGCTTATATCAGGGGTCACGTCACGCTATTTTTTGTCCACTGCGTTGACCACCACCTTGACTTGTGTCTGAAGTGTTTGCAACTTTGCTAACAATCAATACAGCAGACATCACGACTATCCGTTTCTCACAGTGGCCGATCAATGGTGAGTGACTCTTAGTTGCTTACTGCGTGTACTTTCTGAACTTCAATTCTTTCGAGACCACAATGCAACCGGACACAAATGAGTCTCATGTGATTATCTAGGACATTCAGAGTAGGCCAGGTTTTGGGGGAAAAAAAATAAAGTAGGGTAATTAGATTTGCAATTTTCATTTAAGATGTTGTATTCTGGTCAGCGTGCATGTGAGATTACATTATGTACATTTGGAGTAATCCTTTATGATTCATCTGGAATGCTCTGTCCTACCTTTGATGTCGTGAAGATTTCATTTTTAAAATACCCTTTTTTGTTCAGTAAAGATGGGGAATTCTAGTGCAGAAATTACTCAAATGATTAGTGATGGTGTATGGAGTTTAAAAACACAGTGGAGCACTTCCTATATTACCAGAACAGAGTGTAATTCTGTGTATTTCTGATGAGGCAACAACATTATAATATAGATGAGAAAACAGTGTAATATGGGTCCTTTCACATTTGACAGAACAGGACATGTTTGTAGAGCATGTCAAGACTGAGATTTTTCTATGTTCAGTTCAGTTCAGGTCATTGCTTGTGATTTATTTGTGATGTTAGTAGTTTCTCTTTGTGAAGTGAAGTGCAGCGCAGTCTGTGACAGTTGGTTGTGAATGCTTCAAATTGTTTCATCATTCAAAAGGCACATTTCCTCACAAATGGACAACAAAGTTTTGTAAATGTAATAATTGCTCCAACTCAAATAGCATTTCAGAGTCAGGGAAAGTTCACCATATAACGCAGTCATTCATACTTTACCCAGAGCACAAACACTACATATTCAGAGAGGTCAAGTAAACAACATTTTCCCTAAAAAAATAAATAAAAAGAATGAATGTAAAAGTAGCCAACATCAGCAAAGCGACCATGACATGCTTTATTTAGAGAAGTTTTAATTTGAATGAGCTGCAGATTTTTAAGGCCCTCTCAGCGAGATGGGACATAGTATAGTTACAAAAGCTCTAATAAATGTCACATTGTTAGGGTTTTACACAAGAGTTTTATTGCTGCTCGCTTCACTTTTGCTGTCCACAGGCAGCAGCATCGCCACGCACAGTGTTTTTTATAATTACATTGCCATTAAGTATCAGCTTGTCGTCGTGGTGACGTCAAAGCTCCCTGGAAATACCCTGCAAACCACTCGGCCGTAAATATTATGGACAAATGCTGCTATGCAGTCAAGGTTGAGACCTGAAAGTTTTGTCCCACTTGAAACTTTACTTAAAGCCTTGTACATTAAAAACTCTGATATTGTTCTGTTTCATGAAAGGCCACTTTGCACCACCAGGTGCATGTCGATCACTGATTATGAACCATTGAACTGCGGCCCATAGGGCCTTGAGGACCTCCTCGAATCCCTTGAAAATAACATAATACTTTTAGTATGAATGAGCCTCAGATAACTACAAAAGTTGGACAGAAGCTGCACAGAAAAGTTGTGCCTCAAGGTCAAAAAGGTTAAGACCCTGTGGCTGGCAGACGCCTCCTGTTCATAATATTTATGGACTGGGTATACTTAGCAATAACACACACAATGTGCTGTACATTCTGCAGTAATACATTCACTGCAATGTTTCTAATTATACACCTTTAAACTAGAGTGCTTTCATTAAAACTTTATTTCACACAACATATAATCTGTAAAGGTTGCTTTGCCAAGAATATTTCACAGTATGGTTTTAAAGTTCTCCATTTTGCACCATGTACTCCATGACTGGTGTTTGTATTGCTTAAAAATACTTTGTGATAGTGAATAGTTGCATTGCAATGCAATGACATCTCCATGGAGATAAGCAGGTGGCAGTCCATCCACCAGACAAACAAACTGAACACATCCTGTGTATGCTATATAAACCCATGTAAGATCTGACAGCAATGCACAATGTAATGTAAGATTAATAATACTGTTTCAGCTAGTATCAAATAGTTTACCTACAAGTCTTCCATCTACACTGTTTTTCTTTTCCAGTGGATGATTACTCTTTGTCAGTGTTAATTCTGACCACATGAAATCTTTGTTTTCTCTTTGAAGGTTCTATATTATGCAAAATTGTGAGACATGTTATAATGCTGATACCTCGTCAAAACCAGACCTGATGTTGTGTTTTATTTCATTCACATATTTACTATTCAAAATGTATTCATGGAGCTGCAGTGTCACGTAATGTAGGCTAATCTGCAAGTGTCAATTTACTCCAAAGGCATTAGAGCTGCTTCTGCAATGCTAGCCTTTGTATATTCTCATGTTTAAACACCAAACTGTTTTATACTGCTTATGTATTTACTGTTAATCAGATAAATTACCTTATAAAACTATACAAAAGTTGACAAGAGGGAAGATGCTTTGCAGCAATAAGTTGTGGCTGCTAGGATGAATTGGGCAACTTTCCATATGTTTTAGTGTCTGCTCGCCATTCTCCTCTTCCTTCATATGATGTCCTTCTAAAATGTATGTTTGTCGTAAAGTGTATTATATTTATCTCCCACGGCTATAAACTTTTCAGAGTCCGTCACAAGTCATTCCCCAAGGCCCTACTGTTTATGTAACACTTAGTGTTTTTAAAGGGCATCAGAAGTTTATTTTGACACCACATGTTTATTTCCTATATCCTTCCCCTGCTAAAAAGCCTGGAGACACTGTTGAGGCTGAAAAATTAGAACTCCACCATCCATTTGAGCGACACAGTGTCCCCTGTTGGACATTGCTGGTGTAGATTGTCCAACTGGTTGAAATAGAAAGGCTATATTTGTGCATATGCTGTGCTCATACTACTTCGGTGTAAACTGGGGGTCTGTCTTTATCTTCAGAGCTCAAAATGCTCTGTTCCGTGACAACACTGCATGTATGTTTTTGATGAGGAAACAACAGTATAACATAGATTGCAATATAGCGTTAAAAAAAAAGTTTTTATAGTTCATTGTACTGCTTCAAGGACCACATTTACAAACCATCAGAACCTGTCCTTGGGCATAGTGATGTGCTGGCTCATTTGAAAAGAAAACCTTGACATTCCCGCTATTTAAGTACTGTTGAAAGATTTATTCATGCTTTTACGGCTTCATGATTGTGATTTTTTGTCATACTGGATAATCACGATTTCTTCATTTTATTTTAGTTCACTAACAAAAACTTGCTCTCAATATTAATTTCCTGACCACAGAGAAACATTTTTTAAAATAAATTCCATGTAAAGCTCCCATCTGTAACATCTATGTTTATTTGTGGCATTTCAAGTAGATGACAGATGTGAAACCTGTTAAAACATACTGTCAAATTTCTTCTTTCTAAGTATGAACTCTACTCCAAACCAACAGAGGATCAACTGAAGAACTTGTGATTAAAAAGACACATGCTGATAATTGATGATAAGAAATTACTGAACCTTGATTAAAATTCAACACAGCCCTATCCCTAAGTTTAGAACATGGGTCTGAAGTAGGATGAACTCTTGGCATAGCATAATCCTGTGTACCCCCCCTGTGTTGCCTTTAGTCTTTGCCTCCGTCTGTATGTTTGGTGAACGTGCCGACGTGCGTAGGTGGCATTAGAAGCTGAGTATATACGCCGTGTTTGGGGAGGGGGGGTCTAGGCGGAGGGATATGTGGTGATCAGGTCGTGTCCCTCTGGGGGTCTCATTCTGGCTCGTGCGTGGCTCTCACAGTACAGCTGGCCCTCCACGAAGAAATAGCCCTTCTGTTTGAGGTTCATGTCACAGTCGGAGCACACGAAGCAGCCCGGGTGACGATACTTGTCCCGCGCTTTCACCACAGTCCCACTGAAAGAGAGGAACACATGGAATTTCAGGAGTTAGTTATGGGAATATTGGAATTTGATCATTACGTTAGGGTTTGGGAGAAGTTGTTGAGGTAAAGGTAAAGGTAAGGCAGAAGGGCTATATTCGGCTGAAGAAATTCTTGAGACTAAAGTCATGTCCTGCCGATCGATTAGTCAACTAAAAAGGGAAAATGTGTGGAAAAAGCTCTCAAAACTATTATATATCTCTGTGTATCTGACCCAGACTGTATTCATAAGACTACACTTATGCAGGAGTTGATGCGAAAATTTTAGTTTGCAGGAAAAAGTACTGGGAGCAATGTATTTATACAGTATAAAGACAGATTAAACTTGTGAATCATGAGTTTTATTTGCCTTTATACATATCAATATAGAAAATACCAAATGTGCAGCTAACTTATTCACTAACTTCTCTTTGAATCTGTATAATCTAAATAAAATGATTAGTCGACTAATGCTAATGAAATTTAGTTCAACAAAGACGCCACTGACCAATTATTCAAGTAACAACTAAAGAACTACTAGGCAGAAGTGGGTAGTACTAAAGTGAGTTTTTAGTAGTTCTGAGTAATATATTTTACACTGTTACTGTACAATTAATTAAGCAAACATTTTTGATTACTCTTCCCAATGGGAGTTTTACAAGTGACAAAAGCTCCAGTTACATCAGCATAAAATAATGGACAGTGTGAAATAGGGAGTGAGAGGGTTGAGACATTCAGCAAATTGTTGAGGCTGAGAAGTGAACCCACAACGCTGAGATGGCAACGTCCAGATACATGCAATGCCTTAAGACAGCTCCAAGCAAAGTATGATTCTCCCACAGAGCAAACTAAAATATCTAGCAATATTTTTAAAAGTTTGAAACAGAAATTGGAGGTGAATAAAATAGTGATAAAGTAGGTTCTCCTATCATAACATTTCTCCTCCCGCTGGGCTGTGTGCTGTATCTGTATTTACTCACACAATGCCGTTGCCGCACTTGTCACAAACAGGCAGTTTCTGGAGGTTCCCTGTGGGAGCGTGGGGCTTGGTGGTGGGCGCCTTTACACTGCGGGTCACGATTGGCCGAGTACCTGGAACATAAAAGATAAAATTACTAAATAATTTACTTTGAATAATTCAGAAAGTGAAGCGGTGCTTGATGAAAAACAAAGCACCCTCGATATCAGGGTCACTCTGTCTCTTGAATAAAGATAAGGTGCATTAAATGATTTGCCTCTCCATCAGGGAACACTTGGATGATCAGGACAGACTGAAACAAAGAACTACGAGTGAGTGCCTGTTTATAATATAGTACTTTGATAGTACTTAGTATAGTACTTGAATGAAGAGATATGCTTTACTGTGATTATTTAGCATAAATTAGTGTCAGTATCAAAAGTCACTTACAAGTTTTATTTTTAATAAATGCTCTAATGGTCTGTTTTGTATTTGAGAAGAGAGTAATATGGCTTGCAAATCTATTCAGAAATGTGTGGCAAAAAGAAATGTGAATTAAAGGTACTTCATGTAACTTTTTGGAAGAGCCGGTTGTGTTGGAGGTCTTGCTTGGAATCTCTAATCTATTGGATGTTCAACAGACTGAATTTAAGCTTATTGCAAATTGAATGTTATTGCTGGCTTTTAGAATGTGTTTTGAAATTTAAATGTGAATCTAAGTAATAAGTATTCTAAGATACCTGATTTCTGTGACTACCTGTAATCTCTGTCCTGCTACTGAGATGTCCAGTTTTGGAAATATTAAATTGAAGGCAGAATTTTTGGAGCCAGGTTGTGACCAGTGACATGACATCTGTTGCTGCGACATCCTCAACTGTTTCATTAGGAGTCACCACTCTCACAGACCAAAGGCAAATCACTAATACACACACTGAACCAAACTGGTCCAATTATTGAACTTATACAGTTGATAATTGTACAGGATGAGACCTGTGATTATTGATGTTTACAGTTTGAATATGCCACAAGATGAGTGGTAAGATTTAATGAGACTTACTCTTCTATTTCCAATTCTATTCTATTCTATTAAAAAATTAAATTCATGAGATTGGGCAAACAAATTTGAATAGTTCACTAAATCAAAAGCTTTCCAAATCTCAAAGAAAAGTGCTCACTCTTTACCCCCCCTTGGAGTGATTGGTCCTGAATCCAAATTACATTGGATCCAAAGGGTAAGAACTGTAATTATGGTGATTGGTGATTTGTTTGACTACCAGCTTTTCAAATAGTTTGGGCACAGTAGGCAGAACACTAATCACCCTATAAATGGCCATTTATGACATCAACCTGTCCAGGGACTGTAAGTGGAAATTAGCAATTTTGCTATAACCTGGCACAAACACATTACCTTTTTTCAAAGGAAACACAACAAATACACTAAACTAATCCACTTCCTGATGTTTCAGCTTTTTTGTGTTAGAGGAAGAATTTACCATCACTGTCCACAAACTCCTGCAGGGCTCGAAACGAACCGGACTGCCTGGGCTCCAGCGGCTCCTCGTGGTCCTGCTGCAGCATGCGATACACATCCGAGTCTTCAATACTGGTCAGAGTCCGTGGGCTGCACACACAAATCACCACATGTCAAGGTACAATATACAGCCCAGGATTTAAGACGGTCATGCAGTCTTCGTGTGAACAAAAATGAAAAATTTCAACTCTCTTGAAAGCACAGTGTGTCGCTATTTCTCCTGTTTGTTTCCATGAAAATGTTGTTTCTATAATATTTCACAGTATGGCAGAAATCTGCATGGAGAATGTTCTGAAGTAGAGTTAAATTTTTTTATTTCCATGGAATCATGTAGTTGACATACTACCTAGAAAGTTACACCCTGTACTGTAATAATTTTAGAATAGGTACAGTAATTATGGTGTCATAACCACAAATTGTGCATAAAGTTGTTGTTGATCTGAAAGTATTTTCTTACTGTGCAATATTAACAAAAATTATTATCATTTTATATATCCTAGTAATGATATTCAGATGATGTTTTGGCAATATATTGCTTTATTGCCCCCCTCTAATAAGACCTCACGTTATTATGTGAGGTTGCCACTTGCTTGTTTCCATGGAAGCGTTATTGCTTTCCCTGGAATAAGCTTGGATTTAAATTTAATTTAATTTGCATTTACAGGTGTTTTATTGCTTGAAAGCATGCTTTCTTACTGTAAGTAGGCACTCCTTTCCACAGATCTGACCTGTGACTTGGCTCTGGTGGCATCACATGTCTCCATATAGAAAGATAAGTTTAATGCCATACTGTGGAAGACTCTAAACACTAAATAATAATATCTCCAAGGATACAAGTAACCTTTGCACTTTTAAAATTGAGACTACATGTTTTGCTCACATACTACCATAACAAATATTACAAAGACAAGTCAATATTTTGAATAATCAAATTGATATTAAAGGCCATATACTTCTCCTCTCGAGCAGAAAACACTTTGTTCCACCCTGTGATGTCATGTGGTAATACAGGATGTGCTCCACTGTTTGGAGCACTCCGCAAACTTTCACTAGCATCATTTGGATCATTTTAATAATAATGTACATTTCTGATAACAAGGTGATAGTAATTACCTCATTTTGATAATAAGGCAACAACATTATAACATGGCCTAAAGTTCACAAGAATGTAGTTTGAGTAATGTGGGACCTTTAACTCATGTAACCAACTAATCTGGTTGATTTTACTGACTGTCTCCTTCAGTATTGCAGCCATTACAATATGACAGCTCCAGCAAGCACATTAAATTATGCGAATCATTAGAACATTGTTAGCTCCTGTCTGTCTTTGACTGTGTGCTGATTTGTCCCCCAGTCTGATGTTCCATTGATCCAGCAGGTAATGAGCCCGAGACCGCCCTGAGACTGAACACTGGAGCTTTCATTCAAATCTCTACTGTTCCGTGAAAAGGTCGATGATGAGTGAGAATCTAATCAAATATCTTCACCTACACCCGTGACGATTATTACTATATTGACTTATTGTTCTATAAATTACAATTGGAACAGTATTCTTGGGGCTTTATTATGTATTGTGAATATATATAGCGTGTCTTTGCATTTAAGGGGTAAGTTTTGTCTTTTTTTCTGTACAGTGGTAAGATTCAGTTCCCCTTAGAGTTGTTTTAAAACTTTTTTTCACTGGCTTTTAATTAAGTGAGATGTATTTCTTGTTGTCAGTTAACTTGAATATCTTGTGTCTTGTTGTTTTGCATGTTTTTAATACTGGTAAGTTATATTGTGACTTTGACTGTGATTGTCTTTGTCTAGTCTGGTCTACTTTGTGCACAGCATTTTAATGTGCTTTATAAATAACAGTGCTTTATAAATAAAGCTGATATGGTAAGATTTGAGCTGTAGAGAGTTGAAAAATGACTTCCATTATAGATACAACTTCCTTACTTAGGTCAGCCATGGACATACACAGAAGCTTGTTTTTCATTCCAGTTATCTCTCTTCTCCATACACACTGTGAGCTCTTCTTTAGATGTGACACCAGCGTCAGTGCGCAGCTGGTCGATGTGGGTTTTGATTGTTTTCCTTCTTTCTCTGCCCATGTGAGGGTCCCAGAGGATGACCCTGTCTGTTGAAATCCCCAGATGTCGATGGCAGTGAGCAGTGTCTCCCATTCTTCTAGCAGCGATTTTGTTGCTGATTGGTTGAAGGTCTTTATACAGTAATGTGCTGTTCTCAGCATTCATGTGTAGTAGGTGTAACTGAGATCTGCCTTTGTTTTGTTAATGTCTCTCAGCTCTCAGAAGCATACAATAGAACTGTCTCCACAATGGCTGAGAAAAAATATATAGCTTTACTTTTTGTGCAAGATTTGATATGAATATGTGAGACATTTTGTTGAGCCGAGTTGTTGATTTCCATGCAAGAGCTTTTCTAATTTTGTAGTTAGATACAAACTAACTACTAAAGTGTTTTGTATTGCAGCTCATGTGTTTTAATGTACATTCAAAATAGTTTTGGGGGATAATCCTGCTTTGCTGTATGTGTCAGTGGCATAATTTTGTTTCAGTATTATCAATAATCATCTATATTTTTTTAAGCAGAATATTGAACTTCAAAATGTGTTGTGTGTATCATGATAGGCCTACAGCTGGGTATATTTTTATTATTGAATGGAACAGAGCCAAGTCTATCAGTAAGTACTTTCTAATGGTATTGATGTTGTACAGTGAAAAAATCATGGATGCTTCAGCTTCTCAATGCTCAGGGTTAAAAAACATTCACTCAAGCTGATATTCAGTTGTTTTTTTAGTGCTAATTAAAACTGTGGCGGGAACAGTAGACTAGGGCTAATACCTGGGGAAACAGACTAAAGCATGCAAATACATATTTCATTTTCATTCAGTTTACATTTTTATATAGTGTGTGCTGCCACTGCAATTTTTAGTACTATCACACAGGACTGCCTTGAATATATGAAGTCTTTCTGATTACAAATGCCTGGCTGCAGATGCGGAGTTTGAAGTGTGGACACCTGTTGGATCAACATTATGTGAACACAGCTTACTTGCATGTGTGAGTACCTGACTTGTCTGGGGTGCACAAGGCCCCGGATCTGTCCCTCCATGGCGTCCTGGATGTTGCCTGAGGAGTAGAGGCCAATGGGGGTGTTGTAGGATGCACTGACCACCTGGCGTGTGTCATCGATGTTAGCTGCTGCTATGAACGGCTGTGCTTTCCGGTTGTGTGCTGTTCCAATTGGTTTGTATTCCTGTTCAAATGACCATCAAGAACCCTGTTTTAGCAATTGGGAAGTACAATAAGACATACAGAAATATGATTGACATTGAAGACATGAAGGTCCTGTCGATTCAATATCCAATCTCAAATCATAGCACTTCACCCACATCACTATTCCAGACAATCACATATGTGTTTGATAGAAAAACTCAACAAAATCAGATCAAGGTCATACATATGATCTTTTGGGTTAATTGCATGTTAAAACATAGAGAAAATTCTAACTGTAACACAATTTGTTAAATTGTATTCATAAATAACATTTTAATGCAGCACTTTAATATGACCCTGCCCTGCTGCATCAGCCTGTCTGACCACCATCTATCTCTCACACCCCATATTTACAGAGGTCTTCACAGGTGTCTTGCCCAAAGACACAACTTGCATCAACTTGCTGTTGATGCTAATTCACTGAATGGTGCACTGATGCTCTGTATAAAGCTACCGCCCAAAATCCCCCCGAAATCCTGCTCACTTTGAAATACACTCTGGTTGTAGAAGTAAATTTGGGTTATTTTGGTTGTTTTTTAGTAGATAAATGGCCATAAGATATAGGGTCTTACCTGCTGCTCTGATTCCAAATTCATTTTGTAGGGATGTGCTTTCCCTTCCTCCACCACACGAGGGGACCAGAGTCTGGACTCATTCCTGAAACGTAAACACATTGTTTTCACAGAAACAAAAAACACAAGAGTTTATGACACACTTTCATTCATGTTTTTTCTTTATTTTCATGATTATTTACATTGTGGTTTCTCAGTGAAGGCATCAAAACTATGAATGACACATTTGGAATGTAGCAAACAAACAACACTCAAAATAAATAAACTTGTTTTAGATTTTTAAACGAGACACCCATTGCTTTGGTCACTGGTTTGCACACATTTTATGACCCTGACAAGGCACAGCAGTGAAAACCATTTCAGTTCACTTCATCATGAAGCTCATTTCCTCACAAAGATGGTGGCTCCCTCTTTTCTGCATCGCTCAAGGAAAACAAAAACACTTCTCCTCCCACACCAGTCCATTTTTCCCACAATCAGGGGACAATTTATCATCATGAAATGCTCCTTTATAAAATGAGCAAACAGGGGCTACTTTGGAAGGGAATTTAAAAATAAAATGTTTTACTTTTTCTTCTTTACTACATAATTCCACATATCTTGCATCATATATTTGATGTATGTAAATTAAATGTAGAAAGTATTAAAGAACATGAAGGGAAAAAACATAGAATAAGATGGTGTTTGACTGGTAGTGTATGTGTTAGCTACTTATGCTGTTGTGCAGCTCATGAATCATTTCAGAGTCATTTGTCAGGAGAAGTCAAAGCATGCTGTGCAGCTAAAAGTGCTGTCCATGGGTTTCATAATGAGAAATTAGAATCATTGCCACAGTGTTTAACAATTTAAAACAAAATATTATATCTTTTAAACTGGAAAAACTAAATCACTGACTAAAGACCATGTGTCACATTCTAAAACACTGATGCAAAGGTGACTATTTGTTTTAGCTTGAATCAAGCACAATATTGCAAAAATATTATACTTATACTATAATATACTCTGTCCATTTCCCATCATGATCTTTTACAATGACAGAACTTGTATCTGCTAGAGCAGCTCCACTTTACAAGGCCTCCAGAGCCACTTGATCACTGACAATGGGACAGCGGGACAAAAGAGGAGATGATGATGGACATTCACAAAAGGTTAAGGTCAGATTTTGGAACATGCTTTTTTGAATTTAAAAGTTCAGCTCAGTTAATATTCTGAAAGTTCAGCCTTTATGACTTAAATAGAAGAAAAGAAGAACAGTTAATGATTATTTATTCCCTGTTTTTCTGTTTTTGTATTGTGTTCCATTTACATACATCATTGTATGCACAGGTGCCTTATAACCAGGCTTCTGACAATAGGCCAGGTGATGTAAGGTGATTTTCCTCAAACTTCAAGGCCATAAAGTACTTGTGCAAGCCCTGGAGAGTAATAATAACAATACTAAATACTATAAAGAGGGGGTATTATGTAATTATTTTCAGTGAATACATTATTTTTTAACACAGTAAAAGCTAACACACTAAATATGTAATGTGTTAGAAATAAATACCTCATAGAATATTACCCCTACTAGATGTTTTCAGCTGAAACATGTTGAAATGCTGAATACTGAATTTAAAACATTAGGTGGTTTGCCAGGGTGGACAAGGTTTTGTGGTGTTTATGGAGGATTTGTATTTTTTAATGAACTAAGATTGGCATTTGATTTGGGTTAAGTTTTGGAATATGGTTAGTAGGTTTTGGGATAAAGTTAGGGAAAGGGTCTCAAGGGCTGAACTGAGTTGGGCACCAATGATTACCAACAGATGCATCCATTTCTTTCCAGAAAATGTTTTCAGTAATTCCTCCACAGGCTTTATGGTTGTTATTACCAGTAGAGGTCAGCAGAGTGTAGTTCAGCCAATAGTATATATCTCCAAAAAAATATCTAGTTCTAAGTTTGTTTGTTTCTTCATTTGAAAAAAAAAAAACAAAACATCTTTACACGTGTGAATGAATTAAATTTAAGCATGTTATAAAACTCTTGCATATTACCTACACTATACCATATTTGACTATTATGTCAAACATTCTGACACACTTTTTCTTCTGTGTTTTGTGAAAGCATCAAAGTGAAAGTAAAAGCATCATAACTATGAACGAATACATATAGAATGTAGTAAACAAAAAATAAACTCAAAATTACTTTAGCCACTCTTTGCTTTGATCACTGCTTTGCACTTTTGGCATTTCTTTTCCCTGACACAGCTGTTAAGGGAAAACCATCCCAGGAGCTTCACTGAGTGAAGGCCAACGATTTGCAGCACAACCAGAAAATAAAAAATATAAAGAAAAACACATAGCTAAAGAAGTAGTAGTGAATATTGCCTTTAATTAGTCATGATTCAGCTAACTTAAATCGCTTTTGCATTTTTGTTTATATGTGTAGTACAAGTACCTCTCCACGGTGAGGTGCAGCTGGCTGGTGGCCTCCTTGATCTTGTTCTGAGCCTCACAGTGGAGCATGTCTGAGGCCGGGACCCCATCTATGGCCACGATCACATCCCCCGCACACAGGTTAGCAATGGACGCTTTACTGCCCGGGGTGATCTGAACAACACAACAGCACAAGAGTCAATTTAAGTCAAGCTGGTTAATTTCACAATGTTGAGTCTGATCTGCAAATTTTTGCTGAGGAGGATAACTTCAATTAGAGCTCTCCAAAATGTATAGAGATTTCTAACCATCCTCCTGTCAGTGTATTGGGAGACATGGAGAGAGCAACCTTTAGGTGGTGCAAGAGAAAAAAATGTATAAAAGTTCCACAACTTTAATATATATTTTAATACTTCATGCTGCTCACCTTGCCTGGTCATTTTCCAGACTGACCACATGATCAGTGATCACATGAGACTGATCATATGATGATTTAATCTTAATTTACCTATTCTCATCCAACAGAGATTGTTATCTTGGTATCTGCCTTTAAATGAAACTTGCTCCCTTTATTTCTAAGATTTTTCTTATTTCTAATATTTTTCTCAAACTGAAACTCACAGTCAAGTCATTTTTATTTTTATACCACATTTAAAGGGAGTCAGAGTCATTTCTACCTAGGGTCCTTTGCACCATGACCTCTACATTACATCTGTATTCAACTGCTGCTGGATAATAAGTTGGGTGTGACTGACAAAACAAAATGAGCGAACATAAGGCTGAAGGAACACTAATGCTGCTGCATGTACTGACACGTGTGCTCATGAGAAAATAAACAACATTATAACATAGTAAAAGACCCTCCAGGCCAAATAAAGTCATGCCTGCTCAGAGTAAGGACACATGCTTTTCTAACTACTTCAGATCAGTAAACTTCATATTGTGCTGCTGATGTCAACTGAAACCCAGATCATTAAAAGGTGCTGACAGTATCTTGATCAAACAGAGAACTATCTATTTGAGACTGGATTTCAATCACAGCTCTCTCCTCACACGGGTCATGACCTATACACAGCGAGATTCGATTACTCCTCAGAAAATTCTCAATGAGCTCACGAGTCTATAAATAAGTGTTGAATGCAGCAGAGGAGGTCCCGTGGTGACAGAGGAGTGGTGATTTATGGTAGAACATGTCTTAGATACCTGCTGTCTGGGTTTTATAGCACAGACTGTTTCTTGTCAACATCAATGTGTGAGAAGTTTTATTGGACAAGATTGTTCTTTCCATTCCCCTCAGCCTCGACATTGTACAGTGAGTTACAGTGAGTTACAACAACTAAAACTTTGCTACATCAACTGGGCCAACATCCTTCCAAGTCAAGGTCAAGTCATGTCTTTTTATGAAGGGGCTGTTGCTTTTTGGATTCTTAAAATGTTTTGAGCAGCCAAGCATGATTTAAAGGGATTGTATTCTGTTAAAAAAAAAAAAAGTACAGTACAGATATATTTTAAAGCAGCTCTAAGGATGGGACAACTGTGTGCTGTCTGCATGTAATTATAAAGTGTTTTATTTATCTGTGGACCAGGAAGTAACACTGATGTGCAGTTAACATGCTAGTAGATGTTAGAAAAGGCGTGACAGCAAAACTCTGTCCTTGGAAAGTCATGAATAATTATGATGCTAGGAATACATTACCTAATCTTGGACGGCTGCAAAAAGTTTCAAACAAACTAGTTCTGTTTTTAAGTGTTTTAAGAGAGTAAAAATCAGGAACAGTGCCTGAACATTCCAGGAGTTGCTTCATTTACATAGAATATCATGCTTGTGTCTGCTATATAGTTATAATCTAGGACATTAGTTGGTCATTGTGTTGTAATTTGGACATTTTAAATCACAATATCGATCTAAGACAGTGTAATAAAAGAACAAAGTCCTCTGTTTCAATGTGGTGCCCAATGTGAGCTGACGTCGCCAAACATCATCACAACAAATGTCATGACATCAGGCTCCCTTGTGTTCTCTGGCCTTTTTCTGTCATGCCAAAGCTGGCACACTATCACAGACGTAACTGAGATAGCATCTAGTGGTATTATGCCCAATCTAATTACAGACTGTAATTTTGGTACAGTGCAGGACAAGTCTTGTGGAGAGACCTTTGGGATGTTCAGTTTGAAGTCTGAGGAGCATGCAGCTGATGAACGATGTGATAGGGACTTGTGTTTATTCAGTGCACAGATGGAAACAGAGCAGAGCAAGGAGGAGTGAGTCCTGACCAAACATGGCAGTGGCACATACAGACAATGTGCAGGGAAACTCCTGCTCTGTCTGATGGCCTCTCTCTGCCTCTCTATAAAAGCTCTTATGTTACATTACTTCAGGACAGCTTCCTGTTCCTGCCACTTCTCTCATCACATTGCTCACATGGGTGGGCAAACAACAGGTGGGGGCCGTCGTGGTTTTGGAGGCCTCACAGTGTTTTCATTCACTACTTATGACGGCAGTTCTAAATTTAGATCACAAACTATTGCTCTGATAAGCGCAGTAATAAATGGTTTTACTTATACAACTTCAAATGTGTCCTCATAATGTGTGCCAAAGACATATGGGCATATAAAAGACATAATAAAGACATATTATTTGTCTTTATTATGTTCAAGGAATTGTTTTTTTTAAGACTTCAGAGCAAGAAGGAGCAGGAGTTTGTATGTTTCCCCCATAACATGCACAGGTCAAATTCAGCAAAGATAGTCATGACCAAGTCTAGCTCAACATCTGGAGAGGAATTCTTGAGCACTGCATTGCTTTGCTCCTGACAAGTTGCCTGAGTGGCACTGGTTATAGAATGGGTCAAATGTAAATACTATATTTACCTTTTGAGGGATTATTAAAGTATACCTTTGCCTTAAATAGTATTGACTGTTTAAACGGATTGGTCATGTCAGATTTTTAAACCAGTGAGGTAATTTCCAAACAAACTATATAATTGTTATTTGACATTCATTTCAGATTTCCAAAACCATGTCTCCACTCTGGCTCCAAACACTTAGTGCATGAGTAACCAGACTATAAACAGACTCATGGAAATACTATATTTATTGTAAAGCATCATTTACTGATCTGACCCTCACCAGACTGATACGTGCAGTCCTCTGAACTGAGCTCTGCACCAGTGTGAGATAACCAACGCTTCAGCCAGAGTCGAACAAGACGGATTCTCAAGAGTTTGTGATCCCAAGAATTCATCTTGCTGACAAAGTTAAGAGATTTGAGGCATAAAATTCTTGATTTAAACTGTGTCTATAATTGGTCTATACTGAATCTAGTTCATTATTCATGATTTTTGACACACTTTATAGATTGAAGTGTGTCTAATGAAAAGTATTGCACCAGAAACTTAATACAATAACTATTGAGCCAAAAAGTTCATATCAGGTCCTGTCACAGCATGTGGTATTCGGCCTCCTCCGCTTTAAATGCCATACAGTTTAATCAGAGGTCCACAGAGGACAGGGGCAAGAGAGGAAAGGCTCTGGCAGGGCTGACTTACTGTCATCACACAGAACATGTTGATAATACCTTTATACCATTTATCATTCAAAGAGTGCTCTCTTCAGTCTAACATCAAAACCAACGAGGGAAACTAAGATCTTTGAGGTATTTTTTCCATACGCACATACTGTTTACTGTGTCGTGTCTAATGTAGCTGTCCATGTTCTGAATCGATTAAAAAAGCAAAACAGCATTTTGTGAGGAGGCTATGCAAACATATAAAATGGTTAGTTGTTGCTTTTGACATAAAAAAAAAAGCCCAAAATATTAGTGGTCTTAGTATAGAGCCTTGTGGAACTCCCACTTTATTATGTTGTTTATTGAGCCATACATGAATCTTTCAGTGTTATGAAGCCCGAGCCCTTCTCAACTGTAGCAGCAGAATTTTAAGACTCGTCATCCTTCCCTTGTTCATCAGCTTTTAAACCAAGAATCATCAGTAAATAAATAATATACGTATACATGTTTAAAATATTTTCCCATTCTTACTCTCCACTGCTGTTTATGGTTTTCATCAGAAAATGCTGCTCTCTTAAATTAAATTAAAAAGTAAATTAAAGCTTAGTTCTAATTGATAATTTCAAGTGAGCGTATTATTCTGACATTGGCTTATTAACAAAGAACATTATGTGCAGCCTCAGCACAGGACTAAAGCACATCTCCCAGGCTTCAGATTGAACAGGCATAGCCTGTGACTGTGAAGCTCTGCTGCAATTGTTCTTAATGCACGAATTAGCGAAGCATGCTCTGTTACTATGGTAACCTAAGCCTACTGTACTATGCTTTTAACATACATTGAATAAGATGTTATAATGTCATTTAAATTAAGACCTGGGCAGTCCTGGTTCAGTTCTTCTTTATTGCTTGTTTATGTTGCTCTGTAAAAGATGTTACAATTAATGTGACCTCTATTGGCTTGGCCAGGACCTCAGGAGGACCTGATTGTGCAGGTTTTAGGTTAAAACCAGAGTACCTGGAGGAAACCCACCCAAACACAGGGAGAAACACACAAACCTGGAACCTTCTTGCTGTGAAGGGCTAGTGCTAACCACTCACTGCCATGCCCCCATGTGTAATCCATTTGTGTAAAATGAATGTTGATTCATCTGCTTGCCTTTTACTAACCAATGACAGTTTCACTATTTGATTTCTTAAGTTTCTGTTGGTTAAATCAAATATTTTGTTGAGGAGACTGCTGTTGTGATTTTGGGTCTATACAAAAATAAACTTAGACTTGTGTTAGTCCTATTTTAAACATGTTTTAGTCCTGGCCTTGTTCTGGTAAATGGTTTGATACATTGCACCTGTTTCTAAAAACACAGCATTAAATAGTTGAGTGGTTTGGTATTTCAGACTCCAGATCACAGCCTCCAGGAAAATATAACTGAAGACCTCTGGTTTTGACTTTGCTTATTCATTCAGTTGCAATGGGATCATTTGTGTTTTTCCTGTTTTATTAGTTTGTGTACGTCCTACCTCCAGACCAAGCAGCTGTTGCAGAATGTTCAGGAGTGGTGAGCTCATGATGTTAAATCGTAGCCTGTTAGCTGCACTGATTGAGCCGTGCGCCTGCTCTCTACACATGTCCCACACTAACGTAAGCTGCTATTTGTATCTAAGCCCAGTGTTTAGAGGAGCACAGGTGTCTGATGGGCCGCGCACCGAACAATAGACTTATCTGGGGCCAAGGCCACATTAACACAGTATATTAGCAACAGCGCTACAAGCACAATAACAATACTTTTTAGGTTGGAATATTTTTTACCGCAGATAAACGGTCACATTTATAATTGAACAGCCGACCTTTCATCTAGAGGATGAGCTGCTGAGCCTCCCATATGCCCTTCTTGTAGCATCCATGGAAACTGCACAATGTGTCCAGGCCAACATCACTCTGTTGATAGTTTGCAGCGAAGGTCATCCACATTTCCTAGGAGTGTGATTCTAACTGTAGGGATGCTCTGTCTGAGGTTTTTTTTTTTTTTTAGATTTAATCTGAGCTTTATTTGATCTCAATCTGAACAGAAAGAACTGACTGGAGCTGGCAGGTGAGCTGATTTGTGTTATTATTATATAGCATTAGACAACAGTTTTTCAGTTAGTTACTCTCATATTTTGGTGAAAAATCAGACACCTAAACAAGACCATGAACTCTCATATTTATCACAGGCTTCTGAACATATAGTGTTTAAATCAATTTTGTATTTTTTTTTCTTGAGTTTTCAGACCACCTTAATAATTATTTTACTTATTTCTTTGTGTTTGATAAGATGTTCACTGTGTCTCCATGGTAACTGGTTAACATTCTGTCAATACACATACATGTAGAACACCCCAAGCATGATGTCAATGTCACATATCAATAGTAAATATTTAAAGGTTGTTGGTGCAATGTTGTTGTGTCCATGGGCAAACACTCCACCCACCTTGTGTCCGGAGTGCCACATGTGTATGAATGGGTGAGTTCACTGTTGTAAAAATATATCGACTGCCAAGTGAATATTTATATTTGTAAATAATAATAACCATTAACTTAAATTGAATTCCTGTGGAGCCTTACCCTGGAGATGGTGAGGGGCTGGTTGAAGTCCTTGCCCCCACTCAGACGGAAACCCCATGGAGCGGGCCCCTGCAGTACGATGCTCAGTGGCATGTCCCTGTCCTGTGTCTGCTCCTGCCTCTGCTCCTGTCTCTGCTCCTGTCCTGTCCACTGAGGGCCTGACAGCCTGGGACAGCTCCACTCGAAGCACTGGAACTAGTCTGACAGAGGAGAGAGAGCTAAAGGGAGGGGAGCAGTGTGAGCCCACCCCTCTGGAAGAAGTGAACGTGAAACTAATACTTTTTCAGTTTGCATGAACTTTTTATTTTCTAACAATGGTTTAAAAGGCAAATGGCAAATCAACTTTTTTGAGTTTTTAACGATGTTATAGCTTTATCGCCTTAAGTTAATTTGTATTGTGATGTTTGATTAAAAGAGAGAGAAACACAGACAGACAGAGTGTGTGTGTGTGCGTACTTTATTACTTTTATTACTTTATTGATCCTGTGATTTTCAGTGCCCTTTGTGTCTCAGTGCAGCTTAAACAGGAGGATCAGTCAGGTAGAGTCAGCAGATCTCTGTTAGGACAGCTTGAGGAGAAGAACAATAATGGTGTTATTGGATTTGGCTTTAGTACTCTGAAAAATTTTGTTTTCCCCTACCCCCATCTCCACCCACTACTCTGAATTGATTTATAATTATTTCAGACTGAGATTCGGGGTCGGTTGTTTATTTATGTAAAAACATAAATGAAAATCTGCTTTTTGTCACAGTGAAAGTTCACTGTGAGGCAGGGATTTTTAAATCAAGGGTTTAAAACAATATTTGAATTTACAATTAAAAATGCTAAGTGAAAAAAAGAAATAAAAATGAAACCTGGATTGACACTTTCTTTCTTGATGCCATTTTGTACGTAGTCATTGACAGATATTAGTTTGTTTTTTCACACAGGTCGTTGTCAATTGTTGCCAGCAGAGGGCGTCATACAGTTAAGTGGTCTAAAGAAAAGTGCTGTTTAGTGTCTGTGCAGTTTTATACTCAGATGATGAATACATTTTTTATTTGGATGTATTCACTGACATCATGTAAAATATGAACAATGTGAACGAGTTTTAGACAATTATTAAGAATAATCCTGAACATATACTGTATCAGGATTTTATGGGCGTCTGATCCAGTGCTCTGAGAAAAAAACGACTGGCTGTTTATGACTTTGTGTGAGATGTTCTAGTTTGGACTCTGGGAAAGATGCCCCCCTCCTCTTCCTCCTCCTTCTCCTCCTCCTCAGTGAATACTGCTTTACTGCTCCTGTCCTTATTTGGTCTGGAGACGCAGCTCCACTCTGAGGCCCATTCTAACCACTTCTGATGTGGACTGTCCACCAATGCCCTTCACACACACTCTTGGATTGATTTGTTCCTATGAAATCACAATTCTTCATCTTTTTGTTGACACTTGTTCTCCAGCTGGACTAGTGTTGCTCCAGTGATAATAATACAAAAACACTTTCTCTTTAGACAATAGTTAGACTCAGACAAGTTATTTTCAACATTAATAATATTACTTTCTGTTATATTACCATGTGCTTTTATATCTGTATAATCCCTCAGTCATACAGGTAGGTTCCATTGTGGTCCATGGGTGTATATTAATATGGTTTTATACTTGTTCTGATACAGATCAAGATCATTCTAAAGTTATTCAGGAAAGGTTCATTTCTGTCTTGTCAATGTGATTTTTTTTTTTGTGTTGATACCTGCTTAAATGAATCTTGTTTCAATAATAGTTTTAGTATTCATTAGTATCTGATTTTCAATCACAATCTGTCACAGTCATATGCAGTTTCATATCCCAAACCTCTAGCATTTTATGTGGTGACATGTTAACAACCATTGTCGACAAAGAAAATAACACTATGTAACTTTTTTGGTGGAGAGTTTGTCACCTGCTTGTATGCATATGGATGTTATTGCTTTGCTTGGAATGGAATGGAAGGTGGCCAAGTTACAGATCAGTTCCGTGGAGAGGCATGTTCACTTACGCCACCTAGTGCCTCCCCTCAATTTCATTTCTCTCCAGCGACTAGTCAGGAATTGGAATACACTAGAGGGTTTGCAGAAACGGCAGAAGTGCAAGTCCGGGCACCAGTCAATCAGCGAAGAGTCATACATTCTGTGTTGGCAACGATTTCCGAGATCGAGGATTTAAAGCCGGAACAAAAAGAAAGTTTGGTGAATTTTATCAAGCGGAAAGATGTTATTGACCTTCTTCCAACAGGATTTGGGAAAAGCTTAATATACTAGTTATCCCTGTTACCGGCACATTACATACGTCACGACCAAACAGCAGCGATTGGTTAAATTTTTTTAAAAGTACCTACCGTTGAGTGAACGAATCCTAATTCTGCGAGGACAGACGGTTTCCACAAAGTGAAATCGTCTGATGAATCAGGCTAGTCCACTTACAGAAAGAATGTTTTTCAGGGGATATTTTTAGTAGTAAAACCATCTGTAAATAAACAAGAGCCAGGCAGATAAGTTTAATGCAATACTGAGGAACATTCCAAACACAGCTATTCATGTGTTTTAGCTTCCTGTTAGAGGTGACATTATGAGGACTTTTTACTATTGAGAAGATGTAATATTTTGTTTTAAGTTATCAATTACCATGGCAACAGTCGTCATTATCCATCGTTCTGAAACCCATGGATGACATCATGAAGTTAAACAGGTGGCAGAAAAGTCCCATAATGCACCTTTTAATTGCTATGATGTAATATGAGCTCTGTTGTTTTTTTTAGACAGTAATGACTGAAAAGAAAATGACTTCACTACATTTCTAGGTGAAAAAACAACCTAAGCAAAAGCAAACAAAAAACAATTCCCCCTAGTGATGGGATTGTTAAGGGATGATGTCACTTCTGGGTCCAACTGTCAACTTCACAGCTTTGATTTTGACACTTTGCCACAGGGCTGTTACTTTTTGATTAAACAATCAAACAAGAGACAATTATGTATGTGTAATCAGAAATTGTATCAAAATGTGTAAAAAAAAACAAAACAAAAAAAAAACTAGGAAATTGTAAACATGTCCATTGTTTTCAGCAGCTTTGACTCAGAAATGACATCACACTTAACAACTCTATCGCTGTTGTGTGTATTTTAACAACTTTATTGACTTGCCAAGTAAATTACAAGCTGGATTTTATTAACAGTTCAGCTGCATAATAATCCAACAACACTGGAATATGATAGAAACACTTAATAATTATTACTGTTACTCGTCATTCCACGTAGAAATACCGTCATTTCTACAGAAGTTTACCTGGTTTATAAAATGTAAGCCTCCAACGATTTTGTGTTACAGCAGCTTTACAAAAAAATAAATATTCATAGATTCGTACATGGGAAAAAGATCTTGAAGATAGAAATAATGTTAAACAAGATAAACCAGCATTCATCTGGATTTCATTATGCCACAGTCAGTGAGAATTCTAATGCTAGCAGCTGTGCATTATGTCTGTCTCCTTGCTCAGGTTAGTCTGGCTGCAGTTAATCACTCTTCTATATCAGTACGCTCTGAGCATCACCATAGCAAAGGATAAACAAATGAACTACTGTCAGGAGGGACTGGCTTCAGCTAAAACAGTTTCATACCGGGTTACAACTTTTGCTAATTGGATGGATGTCTATACAGATCTGCAAACAGTTAATCCTGGTTTGGACCCAGTTTTGTTCTGATCCTGTTCTAGTTTTGGTTTCCCAGTTTTTATTTGATGCAAGTTCAAGAATGAATACACCCAAACTTGGATTTATTTCTTGCAATTATGCCTTATTCAATTTTAGCTTTGTCCGTTTTTGGTCATATGGTTTATTGTTAAGGTTTGGTTGCCTGGGATCCAGAAAACACATTTCTTCAATACTTTACAAAAATGTGCGTCTGGTCACCGGTGAATCACCATGTTTTCAGACGGGCGGGACTGACAGGTGGATTAGCCAATCAGGGACACACATCAAATATTGTTTGTCCATAACAAAACAAATATGACTACTTAAGATTTTAAAAAACAAATTATAAAAAAAATTGTCACAAACAGGGGACTGAAAAACTGCACATTTCTGCAGAATCACTGAGCAAAGAACTAAATTCTGTCAATCTGACGTGAGAGATATTTGATTTTATTTGAAATGAAAGGTGAATCAATGAGCTCCTTCATTTCACATGCGCCACTGAAATGAACAAATCTGTATTTGAAGTCTGGATCGAGGGGGATGGAGGGAGTGGGGACCAGATATTCTTCTCTTTCTATAAAAAAATACCTGCTAGTCATAAGGTTTGACATTACAGGCTAAAAAAACGCACTGACATTTAATCAACCTAAAAATAAAACTCTTTCCAATGTATACTCCTATCTGGTGATCAAAACATTGTTAATTTATAATGAATTGAGCCATTAGCCTCCATAGTGCCTGTTAAAATAAAACAAACTGATGAGCAAAGAAAAGAGAGGAAACTGATGGTGGGTGACAAAAACATGACTTTATAAAGCTGTGGATGTTGGCCATGTTACAGCACATACAAAAAGTTTACAAAACTCCCCAAAACACCTGTGCGGTCACAGCGCTGAGGGGTGACGTGAGGGACGGTGATACCACAACAAAATACATTTAAGGTGCTTGCCTCAGTGTCCATCCTATTGTGACAAAACATAAAACAGAACGTGAGGGTGACACATTATCTCATAGCATAATACAAGTTTAAAAGATGCAATGCAAGAGCTCCCACGTCGGAACATAAATAACATAAAAACAGCATAGCCCCGAAATGATTTTTATCAACTTTTCAAATGGTGTGACAGATAAATATGGCAAAATATTATTCTGTATATTGAAAAGCCACTAATAAATATAATACCTAAAGGTTCAGGACATCTTGCATACACTTGGTGGATATTACTTCCCATAGCCCGCGCCACAGTGACCTCTAGTGTTTAAACAAATAATAACAATGGAAGTTGAAACACAAACTGGTTTATGTTGTTAAAGTGCATCATACTAATGGCTAAACACTGAAGATAAAAAAGTACATTCTAAATTATGTTTCATTATTTATGGCGAAACCTGCTGTTCAAAACATTAATGTTTTTGTGTCCTGGTGATGAAGAGACTGGTTTTATTAAATATGAAAATACACTTAAATTGTTATGTAGCAAAAATGGCATTTGAAGTATCCATGAAAATGTGAATTGTAAAGTGACCATTTCCAGACCCTACTTATCACCCTTAATAAGTACAATTGTACAATGAACAAAAATGCATGGAAGTCATACTTATATCCGATAAAGGAATTTAGAACTCGGCAATGTAAGATTCATATATGTAAGTAAAATGTGTTTAATGTGTTTACTGAATTTCTGCAGCTTTCGCTTTTTCTCAAAGCAAAAGGTCTTGGGGATGTTTAAGGATACAACACTGTAATTTAAGGACAACTCTCCTACAGACTAATAAAAAAATATCTAAATGTTGTCTCTGCCCTTGTCCGCTCAGCTGTGATTATTGTTGTAAGTTTGTAAAGTTTCCTCTAGTGCCGTAGAAAGGTCACTCCCGGATAGAAAAATAAGGTTTAAAAACACATTTCAGACCAGTCTTCTGTCAAAGGTGGCTAGTGAGAGCTAAAAGTTCAGTGTGAAACTGAGCCCAATGCCTCCTGGGATGTGGCAGCAGCAGGACAGCGATCATGTGACCAAAGTGGGCGGGGCCAGGGTCTGGAATCATTATTATAGCTGCTTGACGTAGTTTCCTGGGAAGGTTCCAAATAACTTGCTCCTTCGGGACGTCCCTTCACAGACACACAACACAAAGCTGGGTTAGAAAAACAGATGGCCAGAGAGGATGTTACTGCCATCTAGTGGATATTTTCCTCAACAACTTTGGAACTTTGGTGGGGACAAAAGATGTACGCGGTGTGATTTCTACAATACAAACAGTTATTTACATTACATAAGCCATTGTCTGTGAACATATTTCACAAACTAAGAACTTGCTTACTAGCAATAACGTTATCAAAATATAACAGAATAAAAATTAGGGCAGGCATTAAAATAAGGTAAATAAAAAACAGATTTTGATATACAAATACTAAAAAAAAAAAGGATTGCTATGGTTTCAAAATGTATCTTTTTTGCTGAAACTGAGGATCTATATAAAAGGAATAGACACCACTGTTAACATCCAGTTTCCTATTAGGAAAATAAGGTGGAAGTATCAAATCTGCAAGGTATGAAAAGAAAATTAATCTACATCAGCCAAAACTGCTTAACTCTCAAATCCAGCCATTCATGTTTACCGCCAGCTCAGGTCGTTAGCTAATCCTGTGGCAGTAAAATGTACATGCCTTTTGACAGAATACATTGGAATTTCTTAGTTTTTGAAATGGCACAGTAGTTTGTAAGTTCAGGTTTATTGAAAAAGTCTCTATTTGTCTATGTTCATGAATTCTATTGTGTGATTTTTATGGTCTTACCGACAAACCAGCCGTCATCACATTTCTCCATCACGTCCACTACGTCTCCCTCTCGCAGCTCCAGCTCGTCTTCATTGCGGGGCATGTAGTTGTACAGGGCCTGGTACCTGCACCAATCAACAGACAGCTCAGACTATGGCATATATATACATATATACTACCATACAAATACAGAATCATGTATTTCAGAATATTTTGAGGTCTAAACTAAAGGATTAACACGTTTTATAAATTTGGAGCCCCTGATGAGATTTCATATTTTGTTATTATATTACATTATGTTACCTAAAGAATGAAAGAGAGCATATTACGCCATTGCTGATCTGTTATAATTGTATTTTCTCATTAACATATAACAGGAGTTGCCTTTTGTTTCATTCAAACATGTTTACCTAATCCTCCATATTTAGGCTCAAACAAAAAACACTGTTCCACATTGTGATGTATACAGGACGTGTTCCACTGTGTTTTTAAACCCCATACACCTTCACTAAAATAATTCAAATTATTTTAAACCAGCAATTGTCAATCACTACAGAAAAATAGTAAAAGGTAGCTGAAAACTATCTTGAAAACTACTGCTTCATGATGTCACAATGTGGAACAGAGCATTTTGAGCTTTGGAGATGTAGACAGACTAATAATAAAGGATTACTCAAACTTGTAAAAGAACCAAAACATAACTTCAGGTCTGTTTTTGAGGAGGTAACAACATTACTCTATGGATTTCATTTTTTAGCTGGAGTTCTTGACAGAATCATAAAGGAAACGTGACTTACGGGTCACCTCCTCCATGGAGCGCATCCTGCACGAGCCGCTGAGAGACACAGAACACACAGTTAGTTCATGTTAGCTTCATCACTGCTCATCACATTTGGCTCAACCACTGTATTTGTTATAGAGATTATGAAGATGGATGAGTAGGCCTGTCACGATAATTACTATATCAACTTATGGTTCAGTATATGAAAACCGGAACAATATTTTTGGGGAGTTTATCTTTGCACTAGTGGGAGAATTTAAGGCTTTTTTTCTGTAGTGTTATGAGAGTTAAAGTGATTTTAACTACGTATTCAACCTTAGATACAAACTAAAGTGTTGCACTATGCCATTTATCGGTTGCGTTTTTTGTCTTTAAAGATACTGTAAATTAGTAATAGTTTTCAATATAATCAGTTGCGTTCAATATTATCGTTTATTGTCTATATTTTCTTCAGCAATATGTCTTCACAATAATTACTGTATCGACTTATCGTTATCGAATATATACGAAAGTTGGAACAATATATTTTGGGGCTCCATATTTATCATTTGCACATTTTCTTTGCAATAGTGGGGAGATATTTTTCATTTTTATGTAATAATGTAAGAATTTGACCTGTAGAATGTAATTATTAGTTTCATTCTGCCATTTATTTGTTGCAGCACACACCTTTTAATGATATGGGCTATTAAAAGAGTGGTTCACTGGGATCATCCTGCTTTGTGTTAGTGGCATAAAGTAGTTTCAATATCATATCAATATTTCTCTGTAGCCATATATCACACTTGAAAATGTGTTATCATGACAGGCCTATGGATGAGGACATGCTCCCTACCCTCCGACCTCTACCAGAAGACATGTAGGACCTTCGGGACAAGATGGGGCTACGAGGAGGTTTACCACCAATCAGTACGTCCTGCTCAACAGTTAGAGAGACCAAGTAACTACCTCTGAAGCACTTTATACTCACACGGTAAGAGCAAATCTAGCTTCATGATACACACTACAATGCAGCATGCTCCAGACCACAGCCCTGACCAAACATATCTCCACAAATTAAGTTAGTTCTGAGAAGATTAGTCATCAAATTTCAGGCAGACAGAAAAAAAGGTTGGAGTCTAATCAAATAATTACTGATTAATCACCGTGCGATGCATAAAAAAAAGAAAAAATTGCCTTGTTAATGCTATTTCTTAATTTTGTGTTATTTTTAATTTGGTTCATTTTGCAAACAACCAATAAATTATTAACACAGTTTGGCAGTAGGGAAAAGACAGAATTTCCACAATACGCAATGAGACACAAGATTGGATCCATGGGAACGAGACAAGATGAGATTTTGATATAATTTATAATAAATGAATTGCAAGGTGCAGTTCACAATTTTGGCCCTTACAATTTTTGATTTATTTTATTGAATACACTCATTCTAGTGCTGTTTTTTAGAACTACGGCTTCTCAAAACGTTAACCCGTGTTAAATAATTTTTGTCCAATACAAAAGCAAAACCAATGGGAAAAAATGCACAGTAAAACTATCTGCACCAACGTCACAAAAACACTTTGGCTGTAACACACTCTCTGTAAGTAGGACGATGCCTCGCTTTTCTGTTGTTGTTATGACAAAACCACCAACACACACCAAAACCTCATCAGCCTTCAGTGTTCACACACCATTCGGCACATTCCCAGTTTACCTTCACCATGGGAGACCTACGCCCCACATGAGACGCCAGAGGGGGAGTGGGGGGGCAGCGGGGAGACAGGGGCGGCAGGGGAGGGGACGGAGCGTGCAGGGGGACGGGCGAGCTGGTGACGGGGCAGGCCTGGACCGGGCGGAAGTGGCAGGGTGAGGGCGGGAGCTGGGAGGAGGGGCGCTGTGGGGGCGGGGACACAGGAGGGGAGGGGGAGGGGCACGGGGACAGCACTGGCAGGGGCGACAGGGACAGCTGAAGCAGGCTCGGAGGCCGGGGCGAGGTGGGAGGGGAGGGGCTTAGCAGGAGTGGGCGGGGCGACAAAGGAGGGGAGCACAAGGGGGAGTTAGAGGCGGGGGGTCTGTGGTTCGGGGGGCTGGGCAGTCGCGAGGGCGGGGAGGTGGCATGGACTTCTGCCTGGAGAGGGATAACAACACAGGTGAGCTCGGAACCAAAACGTAAACCAAGTTCTATGATACTGACAACTTGCGCCTTTGTTTTTAAGCCCAAAGGAGTACAGATGGAGGAAAAGGATAACATACTAAAGCAGCATTGGGATCGGTACGCTGTTTTCTGATCTATGTTATTATGTTGTTTCCTCATCACAAATACAGCCAGAGATGATGTCATGTGGCAATACAGGATAAATTATTAACATTATTAAGCCACAGTGTTTTTCAACCCTTCACCTGATCATTTAGATAATTTCAGTTCTGGAATTATCATTCTCTACTAAACAAAAGGTTAAGGTACCTGCTAAATAAACTACTGCTAATGGATGGAGAGATTTCTATCATCTAAACAATTTTAGCCTTAACGACTTGATAATGGCTCAAACTCATACTGTCGCTTTCATTCAAGTGTGATGTATTGTAGCCCTACTATAAAAATGTTGCCTGGAATACACACTTCTCTAATACTTCACGCAGATGTGAGTCTAGTCACTGGTGAATCTCTGTGAGTTCAAATGGGCAGTGATTGACAGCCATCTGGGACATGCCTGGTCCGTCTGTAACAAATCTGTCTGCTAATGAGGTAAAAAAAAGAAAAAAAAAATATGAGAGGGACTGAAAAACATTGTGGATTTCTAGAGAATCAATGAGGGGAGCGAAATTAGATTTTGTTTGTAAATGATACTGAAAAAGAAACTATTTTGGTTGCATTATCATGTTTTGGTTCTGGCTCCAGGTGTGACAGAGGACTCACTCTGTATTAGGGATGGGCAGACGATTAAATCTTCTTAATCGTCGGGAGATTTAACGATCGATTTTTAAAATTTGCCACAACTACAGTGTTTAGGCTGTCCTTATGCTACGCACAGCAACCCACATATTCTGAGTTTACCAGGGGCATAACATTGAAATTATGGTAAATCTAAAAAAGCAGAATACAAAAAAGACATCTTTTCCTCCATGTATTCTCCACAAGGAGTCATATTTGAAGGCAACCACATGCGACACTCCATGCTCTACCTGTGGACTAAGTCTCTCTTTTAACTCTCTGAGCTCTTCTTCTTCCTTCTCATCATCTTCCTCTATGAACAGCTCTGTGTGGGCCCTCCTTCTCATGGACGACGGCCTCTCCAACTCAATGGGGGATGCAGGTGCAGGTCTGTCCCACAGCTCTGACATGGGCTTTACTGTCACAGGTGAGTGGAGCTCCAAACAGATCCTACCAGAAAGCCCACTACCAGGGCGAGTGGTCTCTTTGGGCTGGGGGGACTTTAACCCACTCAGGGGCCTTGGCGTTTGCGTGGGTGGGGGGCGGTATTCTGACGGGGACAACCTCAAATCTCCAACATCATCTGTGCTACTCGATCCACTCAAGATCATAGACAGCAGTTCGTCATAAGGATCTTCGACTTGTAGTTTCACTTCACAGGGATTTTTGGCTTCTAACTCAATGTCAAAAAAGTCTCGTATCTGTGCTTTCACAATCACTGGCGGCTCCTCTCTGGTGATTTCTGGAGTTGAACGCATTTGAAGAACCGGACTTGACTTTATAATTTGCGGTTGCTTTGAAGGCAAAAGTTTGGTTGTGTGTGTTTTCGGTTCGGTTGTGTGTATTTTTGGTTCGGTTGTGTGTGTTTCCGGTTCGGTTGTGTGTATTTTTGGTTCGGTTGTGTGTGTTTTCGGTTCGGTTGTGTGTATTTTTGGTTCGGTTGTGTGTGTTTTCGGTTCGGTTGTGTGTGTTTTTGGTTCGGTTGTGTGTGTTTTCGGTTCGGTTGTGTGTATTTTTGGTTCGGTTATGTGTATTTTCGGTTCGGTTGTGTGTATTTTTGGTTCGGTTGTGTGTGTTTTCGGTTCGGTTGTGTGTATTTTCGGTTCGGCTGTGTGTATTTTTGGTTCGGTTGTGTGTGTTTTCGGTTCGGTTGTGTGTATTTTTGGTTCGGTTGTGTGTGTTTTCGGTTCGGTTGTGTGTATTTTTGGTTCGGTTGTGTGTGTTTTCGGTTCGGTTGTGCGTATTTTTGGTTTGGTTGTGTGTGTTTTCGGTTCGGTTGTGTGTGTTTTTTGTTCAGTTGTGGGTATTGTCGGTTCAGTTGTGTGTGTTTTCGTTTCAGTTGTGTGTATTTCCGGTTCGATTGTGTGTGTTTTCGGTTCAGTTGTGTACATTTTTGGTTGACTTTGCATATACCAGGTCATGTGACTATAAGAGGGCGTGGGGGTGTGGGTGAAATGGTGAGGGGTGGGCGGGGGCGACAGGGGCGTGTAGCGGGATGCGATGGGTTGCGACAGTGCAGGTGGTGGGGAGGTGAAGTCTCTGCAGGATGACGGGGCAGGTAGGTGAGGGGGCTCCGGATCTCGGGGGTCTGGAGGAGGAGGGGGTGAAGTCGGGGGCAGCGGGGGAGGGGGTGGGGGGTGCGGGCGTGGAGCAGAGGGAGCGCCCGCTGGGGTCCATGGTGAGGGACAGCCACTCGTTGGTGATGGCCTGCAGCTCGGGAGCTCTCGGGGCAGGCTGGGGCGAGGGGAATGGAGGGAGGTGGTAGAATGGCTCCGGGAGAGTAAAGATAAGAAGGACAGTGACTACTACTGAGTATGGACAGAATGAGATGATTCAGGCAACTTCATTACACTCACATGTGTGTTTTCTTTATGTTTACTACTTTCTGTGTGTTAGACACTAGGAAAACATCAAATACATAATCCCAAATATGTAGAAATACGTTGTAAAGAATAGATAAATAACAAAATTTTATATTTTAAATCCTCAGAGTAGCTACCCTTTGCTTGGTTGAGAACACTACAAACCCATGGCTTTTACAAAAATTAAAAGTATGATTGGTCTAACAGGCATCTACATTTCAAATTTCGCCCCTACAGCCAGGTGTTTGTAGTAAGAAACATGTGGCTGTAATCAAAGTAGTACAGTGTCATGTCACAAAATACTTAAAATTGCAGTGGCCAGTAGAGGCAGCAAAAAAGCACAATAAAATGTCAAAAATAATTAACTGTCTAAAAACAAAATGAACTGTAAATAAGATTGGATAAACAGGTCTGTGTTGTGTATATGTTTCAAAGGAAGTTGGTGTATACAGTGACGAGACTCTTACCTTGGTGGGGGTGGAGCTTGCCGTCCTGCTGCCCGGATACACGTGTGGGTCGGCGTGGTGGGCAGAGCTTTTGGACGGAGAACGTTTGACCAGGTCCACGTAAGACACGGGGAAGATGCCCTGTTTGGTGGTGTCTGGGATTTTGCCTTCATACCAGTTCTGATCCACTTGTCGAATCACAATTACTCGTTCTCCCTGCAAATAACAGACATAATAAAAGTCTAGTCATCATCTGACCCTAAGCACAAAGGTCCAGCCTAAAAGAATATTTCAACTTTGTCAGTTTAAGCCATTATCCTTGTTTGAAACAAGACGCTGTAATCAGTTTCTTCCAGGCATGGTACAATGTAGAGAAGGTTTCATATGTGGTCATCTGAACACTGTTTTTACAATTAAGAAATTTCAGCTCCCATCCAGAAGCCATTTTCATTTAGATGGTACTGGCTTGAGGCACTAGGATTTATACTATTCCATGAATCCAGACCCAAAAGGAGAAGTTTTAGAGTAAAACCGCCCTCCCTTGTTTACTAGTTAACGTCATCATGGGTCTTTATGTCCCTGTAGTGTATTGGATTGCATCTTCCACATAGATGAAGGCTATCCAGGTTGTTTTTAATGAAAGACAGAAAGTAATAAAAATGCTAAGGAGTGACTCTTAAAACACCCGAGTGATGCATTAAAAAGCTTTAGTGTTTTTAAACTTACTTCAGTGATGAAATTGCGGTCACTTGCAGATAATCAATACCTATTATTTTTTGCTTAGTACTAACTCTTTCATTCTGCAGTGTGCTAGCCAATGTTGTTTTAAAAAGACACATATAATGAAACATGTGCTTTTTGGATCTTATAACTATAACAACATCAGAAATACACCTGGAATTATATTTTTGCTTAGTTCACGCTAGTTTAAATTTTCCCCGGATTGTGACATCAAAGGCACGGTTTTCATAATTCCATAAATCTGCAGCAGACTTGTTTTGATACTTTTGACAGTTTTGTGAAAAGCAAAAAACTTAAAAAAAAATTACCTTCCTGAGAGAGAGCTCCACATTTGTATCAGCGTTGAAGTTGTAGCGGGCCACAGCCTCTCCGATTTCTCTAACGTGGGCGGGGGGGAGGAGGTCTGATGGGCTGATGCTTTTCCACTGATGGCATCTTCTGTATGAATGTGTAAAAATACATTCTTGTAATACAAGATGGACTAATAGGAAGTAAAACTGAATCTATCCATTTGTGATGAGTCTACCTCTACATAAGAAATGGGGAATATCCCAACCCGTCCACGGTGCTCCCCTTCAAACCAGTTGTTGTCTATTTGTCTGATAATGTTCACCGTGTCTCCCTTCTTAAATGTCAGCTCCCTGCAATACAGCCATGTTAGTAGAGGATCGTGACTCATGTACAGTAATGTGCATGAAATCCAACCCCAATGTGTCAGCCAAAAATTAACCAGAAAGCAAAGCAGAAAGAATTTCCGTCAGAGATGGGTAGTTACATTTACTTGAGTAACTTTTTAAAGAAATTTGACTTTTTAGCAGCATAGTTTTACTCCTACTTGAGTATTATTGTTATTGAAGTAGCAGTACTCTTACTTGAATAAAGGTTTTAGTTATTCTTCCCAAGTCTACAAATGACAAAAGCTTTATGCTGACAATATTAAATGATTTGAATGTGTTTCCTGCTCCGCTTTTTTCAGTTTTTTTTCAAAATTTTGTGTCTTTCCTTTAAAAATGCATATTTTTTACTCTTGACTTGAATTGAGTAATTTGCTGAACCACTACTTTGTACTTCTGCTTGAGCAATAATATTTTGAAGTAATGTTACTCATATTTGAGTAAAATTTTTGGTTACTCTACCCACCTCTGATTTCAGCATGCTAAGATTGAAATCTGTAATCCATCCAAGTGTGATGAATAAAACAACATGGATTTCACATAACTAAAATGCTTACAGATCACAAAAAATAGAGTGAATTTATGCTGACGTGCAGTTAGCCATTCCTGCAGTGAAGCGTGGAATCCCTGTGCATGTGAAGCAGATTCTGTACTCACTTGGCTGTCTGTGCCTTAAAATCATAAATGGCTCTTGCGGGCTGTTTCTGATGGAGGAGAGAGAAGAGAATGAGTTGTGTCATCTGTTTATGCGACACCTAAGAGATGAGAGTAACAGAAGAAGAGACAGAGAGAAGACCAGCAAACATCCCATGCTCAGTTTCAATAAAAAAACAAAACAAAAAAACAGAATGGACTAATGTCAATGGAACTCAGAAGCTCCAGACATTAGCATTAGGTGAGGAGGAGTATGAAGAAAATACAGACAGGAAGCCAAGATTAGTGTTGCCATGATACTAAAATTTCAAGCTTGATTTTGATACTAAGGAAGAAACTTGATACTCAATATTGACTCCAATACCACAATGATGATAAAACACTCTTTATTTAGACAACAGAATAACATTTTCAACATTAAATCATAGTATTTTCTTTAATATTACCACGTGGCCTTATATCTGTGTAATTGATATGTTCCATAGTGGTCCATGGGTGTATACTAGTGAATGTCCTTTTATACTTTTTTCTGATACAGCTCAAGATCATTCTAAAGCCATTAAGGAAAGGTTCATTTCTGTCCTGTGAATGTGACCTTTTAGTACCCATAACTGTATAAAAGAGTACCTAGTTTCAGTATTAGTTTTAATACAGATTAGTATCAGATTTTTTTATACTTTGACAACTGACAACCCTAGCCAAGACTGCAGAGTTAGTTATATAGGATTATGATGTATCGTGTTTTTGACAGTGTTTACAAATCATGGTGATCATATTAACTCAGTACAAATATGTAAATACTGCTACTACTGTTATTAATGCGTTAGATTTATATAAAGCTTTTTGGGACATAAACGAAGTGTTACGTTACATTGTTCATTCTTGGACCCATTCGTAGACATAAACCTTCCAATCCAAGCCAAAGGCTTTTCCAACAGCCAGTCACTCACTTCCTTAAATTCATTTATTGTCCAAGGAAACAACCAGAGGTGGATAGTAATCAGTGACATTTATTAAGTTTTGAAAGAAATTTTACTCTGAGTATTTTTCAAGGAACATACTACTTGAGCAATATTTTTATTGAAATAACTGTACTCTTACTTGTAAATGTAAATGTTTTGGTGACTCTTCCCACTTTTATTAAGTCTACAAGTGACAAAAGCTTTATGTTGATAATACTACATGATTTGAACATTTGAGATTTAGTGCATTATTTAATGTTTTTTCTTCCCAATTACATTAACTTAAGTTGTAAATCAGATGTTACCTCCTGACAGTTACTCTTTAAGTTACACTTACTTGAGAAATTTCTTGGACTACTACTTTTGCTTGGGTAATTATTTTGAAGTAACGTTACTCTTAAGTACAATTTTTGGCTACTCTACACACCTTTGGACACAACAGCAGGATGCACTAGATCTGTCATAAAAAAGTAAAGCAAAGTACCTCTCTGTCTGGTGTGGGTCGCCTGCTCTGAGGGGTGTGCCGTCCATCCAAAGTGGAATAACTCCTGGAGACATCATGGTCTAGGACCCAAGGAGAAAACAATGAATCTCAAAGAAGCACACAAGAAACTACACATAGAACAACAATACTGAATTGTGTTGTGTTGTGTGGACAACGAAGTAGAGGATGAGATCATTCATAAAGAGGGGGTATTATGCAAAGCAACTTTTTTGAGCTTTCTACCATGTTACAACGTTCCCTCATCAAGAGCATGTCTGAATAAACAGAATAGTCTGAGTAATTCAGTGATCTCTCCCAGGTCCTATTCAAACTTTCCGTATGATTAGGAATACAGTCCTATCCAAATCTCAGCCCAAAAGCCTTCAGTACCCAAGCTCCTGTACAGCAATTTTACATAACCATACATAAGCATGACACAAAACAACTCACTACACCTTCACAAACCTTATACAATGTGCAGTAGTTTCTTTAGCAAAATTCACACTGATTGTAATGATAGCGCTCTGACGGGGGAGTGACCATGGTGAACAAAGGGAGAGGGTTATTAAAACACAGTTTTCAGTGAATGTAGCATTTTCAGAACAATAAAAAATTAACGTGGTGATCTTGATAATTATGTGTTGAGTGTAATACCCCCTCTTTATAGTGAATAAAGATGGCAAAAATCTGAGGCAAAAATTGCCTGTTTTATTTTTCCATCAACTTTTATATAACATGCAATTGCAAATAGACCTAAATTATAATAGAACTAAAAAAAAAATAAAAATCTGTAACCAAACAGGGACCATACTACACACAATATATAAAGACCATAAATTCTCAATTTATAGCTGTAAACATTTCAGTAAAACAAGCAAAATTATCATGCATTTGTGAGTCTCTGCTTGAGAAACTCAAGCTAAACTGAAAATAAACAATAGATCCAGAAAGATAAAAAAAAAAGAATAAAAAATTATGTTAATGTATAAAAGTAAAATGTGTACTATGAACACAACAAAGCACTGGGTGTGTATGGCACAGTGGACATGAGTACATCACATGCAGTATCTCCACCTGAATAACAGAGATTCCCATTGCCCTCTGCATAATCATTATTGTTTGAGGTGTCATGATGGCGTCCGTAACAGGCACTGACTGGTGACTGTATCCGCGGCGACTGTAACCGTGGTGATGAGGCATACCCAGTGGGACTTCCATCTGCGTAGATGGAGGAGTGCCCCCCATGCCAACAGCCCCTCCTCCCTCTCAGAGAGGAGCTGCGCTCAGGCACGTTTGGTAACAGTTCAGCCAGAATCCTCCTGAGGATACTGTCATCTGGTGCCCTGGTACCTCTGTGGCCACGCTCTGCCTGAATGTGCTCGTATATGTCCCTCAGCGCAGCATCCAGGGCTTCATAAATAGCCTGCTTAGACTTGGGTCTGCTACCTCGACCTGTGCCACTTCTTCTGGAGGTAGGTGGTGAGCCCTTTTTCCTGCGGAAAGGCACTGGACTGACCAGAAAGGCCAGCTTTGACATCGCTTGCTGGGACTGTGGGTTGTGTGTTCGTAAATGGCTGCTGTGAGTGGACTGTGAAGGTCTGGGAAGCTCCTGGCGAGCCTGTTCTCTCTCATGACGTAGCATTGTGGTGAATCGGGTGTATGAGGCAGGGCAGCGGCCCTTGCAGGAGCTGATAAGGTGTCTGTGTTGGTAGCCCTGGCTCTGGCCCACGCTTTGATGACCAGCATGGTGGTGGTGGTGATGGCGATGCTGGTGACGCAGGTGATGGTGGAGTGAGGAGGAGCCATACAGGCTCTCTGTGGAGGTCAGGGAACAGTGGTCAAAGTCACTCTCACTGCAGAAAGAGGAGCCCTCCACCTGAATAAAGTCACTCAGGTCTGAGGCGACAGCATCCTGCTCGCTGTCAGAGTAGTCCTGGGGAGCCTGGGGAGCACGAGGCAGAGGCGGAGCTGCAAAAGAGTTTCCTCGACTGGGCTCTGGGCCAACACGAGGCTGCCCCTCTGGTGGACTACGCGCACACTGCAAATGATCCATGCTTTGTGCTGTGTCATTGCCATTGCTGTCTTCTTCTAGTAAAGACTCTATAGAAAAGCGGCGTTTAGGTAAACTGGGAGTATTGCCCCCACTGCTGGCTCGAGATGAGGAACCACCAGGGGTCACAGTGCCTGATGGTGCTTCACCATCACCCAGGTTAGGCATAGATTTTGATTTTTGTATAAGGCGCTCGTATTCAGAAATACGATTTGGCACCATGTCACGTGAGACATCTTTGCCCCATGACGGTCTCCATGGAGGGAAGGGATGGCGAAGCAGATGGGGTTGGCGCTCCAGCTCAAGTATACGCGCCCGCACTGAGCGGATCACGTCAGAGGGGATGAGCTGAGAGCGGTCGATGTGGTGCATCTTCTTATAGAGTTGGAGAAACCCCGGTGAGTCATGGGCCCGACGCCGGTGAAGTCGGGGCAAAGAGGAAGTAGAGGTGGATGCTGTGGAACCTGAGGGAAGTCCATCACACAACAAAGAACCAGCACTTTCTGAGCGTGTGGCGCCACGCCCATTGGTGCCCGAGTGCCCATCGTTTAGTAAGTCATCACAGCTGCGAGACTTGACTTTACGGGAGGAAGGCGGAACCTCCTCCACACTGCTCCAGGTTTCTGTGTCACCCTGTTGACTAGGCCAGCTGCTCTTAAAAACAGACTGTTTAGAGGAGGAACTGCCCTCTTGGCTGCCGTCCTCCATGCAGTCTGTAGACTCCGAAGGAAGAGGGGGTAATGAGGGGCGTTTATGAGAGGCTGGAGAGGATAAATTGTTTGGATACATGTCGCATGCTTCCCCACCTTTTAGATGTCCAAAGGAGAGCAGCGTGAGAGAGACAAAGGAGGAAAGCATGTTAAGCAATAAGACCAAGCCAAGAGAGTGTTAGAATGAGGGGAAAAGGAAAAATAATGGACAGGAAGGAATGGATTTGACAGTAGGATATTTTAAAACAAACCAGAAAAAGTAATTAAAAACTGAAACAAAATGTATGTAGGTACAGTACCATGTGTGAAGGATTGGGACATGTAGGGAAAAGACAGAAAGCATGTGAATAATACCCAAAATAAATATCAAAACATTTATAAAAATAGTTTTAAGGTTTACCTTTGGCTCTGGAGGGTGAAGACGGAGAAGAGCGAACCACAGTTTTTTCAGGCTGCTGCTGGGTCGGGTTGGTTCTACTGGTTTTGGAGATGTCACACCTCTGCTCTGATGAGCATTTGTGTGGGCATTCGAGGGCTCTGACTTTCGTCTTTTCCTGTAGTCACTGGCCACACTGCATGGTTCACAGGAAAAAATCCCAAAACATGACTGTACATAGACAATTTATTCTATTTTCTGTACACCAAGATTGCAACAGCGGTTCAATCAAAGAATTAATTAGCATACTTAAATGTTTGTACAAAATCCTAATAAACCGTAAACTATATACTGAAAAATGATTGTAAAAGCCAACCTCACATGATCATTTCAACAACTGTCTTCTTATTCACTCCTGACTATATTTACTATGTCCTCTCTCTCACTAATGTGCTCTCCTTTGAGTAGCAACACAAAGTGACTATATATAGGCTATTCATGACATCCCATCTCAGCTCTGTTGACTCACTGAGGAGAATAAGACATGAATAAGCAGGCCACTGGTGAATAGGACTGGGATGTGGAGAAGGGAGGGGGTTGGGACCAGCTGAAGAGGTGACAGGGAGAATCAATAGAGCTGCGGGGGTTCATTTTATTCTCTGTCTTGGCTTTTGTGGGGAAAACCCAAACACTAATCTTGACATACCTCTTGGAGTGAGAGAAGTTTAAAGGGGCAAAAATGGAGCAGAAAGAGGAGAGCTGACTATGCTGAGAATCACAACAAACCAGTGATGGTGGGGGAGGGGGCGAGGAGGTGATGCAGAAATGAAGCAGGTTTACCTTGCAGATCTCTCCGCAGTTTTTTCGGACGAAGCGATGAGCAGCGATGCCTGGGAAATGGGACACACAACAAAAGGAAAAAGTGAGCCCCGCAAGAACAAAGACTAGAGGTAGTCCACAATGCACAGCCTGCATGCATTTGCCGATGTGCCACACTCAAAATATTCCTCCGGAGTAACATCCCACAGCTGCTGGTTCCACGTGGCACACTGGAGAGAGAGTAGGTGTGCCGGTGTTTGCTGAGAACTGGAGAAAAGGCTGGAGACTGAGGCAGCCTGCAGAGGATGGGAAAGGTAAAGCTCTGCTGCATCTAATGTGCTCCGCGTGGGGGCAAAAGGCGCTCTGCAAAATCTGGACTGGATCAAATGGAATGAGCTGCTTAAGGCTGTGTTATGAACCCTGCAAAGAGTTCATTTACCATGTGCACGTGAAGTTGAAAATCTTTAAAACTGTAGGCTACTTAGAATTAAAACAAAAACGAAAAACTTAACTTAGAAATAGAATACATGAACATACATTAAATGTATAAAAAATAATAATTGTCATTATAATAAAATAATGTATTAATACATTTATATATATTTTTTAAATCTAATTAACAGACTGACATCTTGATTTCATCTAGTATTTGGGGTACAATTGAAAACCTCTTTGGGTGTCTAAAAGAACAAGCAACAACATTCATACCATACCATTGAGTCTTCTTGCCCAGATTGTTTAGACTGAATGTATCCTCCATTAATAATCTTTTTTATACCTTTGTGATTGGTCATTTTGTTAGAAATAGTGAGATCAAAAGTATAAGAAGACTTAAGGATGTGGGATTACCTCAATGCGCTGGCGAGCGGAGATATCTGGATTATAATCCAGTCGTTTTTTAGGAGGCTTGAGCCGAAAGCAGCAGAAAGCAGGAGGAGGAGGAGTGGAAGAGGAGGTGAAGATGAGGTGAAAGAGGAGAAGCAGTGGTGGCGTCATGAGGAGGAACATGTGGAGAGAGTGAACCCATTAGACAACAAGGAGCTCACATGTGATAAACATGTGTACACTGTCCACAGAAATGCACTAGCACACAACTATAGCCCTACACTATTACTTTGTATGTACCAGAGATGTAGAAATATGGAAAAAGTTCACATTCAATAAAGCTGTCTTTGGTTTGGTTTTACTGAGGAAATATGAATTGGATCAAATCAAGTGAATATGACTGATAGTTAGACTCTCGCACATACAAACTGAGTATAACTTCAGTTCTAGTTTTTTCCATAATACTACGCTGTACATTAGCCTTTGTGAAACTGACTCACGCACAAACATACACGCACACACACATACACACTAAAATCCACCCACGGAGCACACACACATGCAGAGTGTGAGAGCAAGCTGCGAGCAGACGGTGACGTACGAGTCTCTCAGGTGTGATAAGTGCTGTTTACTAGTGCACACTGCAAACACCTGCTGATTTATTACCTTCCACCTCAACAAACACACACTTCATTATTCAACATGACAGCCTTATGTCTTCTGTCACTACACTCTCTGGGCCCAGTGGTCATGTCAGTCATTCAAAATATTGTAGGAAGACAAAATGTTCCTCCACCTAAACATTTTGAATAAGCACATTCATCTCAACTCATGCTCTAATCAGGCATCCACGTGACACTTGGTAAATCAGTGTGGTGATGGTGTTTTTATCCCTGCGTGAGGAAACTAGTGTGAGGAACTAGGAAGTACTGTCTGCATCCAGCAGAGGGCAGTGCGTACATGGGCTTTTGGTTATGAAACAGAATTAGGTGAAGCATATTGAAACTAGTTATTCCAATCTCATAGCACCTGCAGTATAAACATTTATCCAATAATATAAAGTAATGAAATAGTATTTCTCTCAAGCAACACAACTCCTTACAGCTAAATGAATTAAGAAGATGTTGCTTGAACTATTGTGATGCTGTTGTCACTTTTGTGAAGCAGGAAATACAGATGCAATATTGTCATTTAACTTCAGAAAAGTTTAATTTTCCTTTAATAAGCTATGACTGTGGCTAAAATACAGGATAATGCTGTGTATTAATATTCTATCTAAGAGATACTCCAGGGAAAACATTTATTTGCCTTTGCAAAATGGGTAAAATTTTAGTTTTAATCTAATAAAAGTGAATCAACTGAAACTTAACAATTGTTAACAAAGTCCAGTAGATACAAATATATATATGTACTAGCCAAAGTCTAAAAAGCAACACAAAGACATCATACAGGCTGTCACAGAGGTGGTAGAACGGGGAGGGGATTCAACACATGCCTGGACGACTCGCCCCACCCAGCCTACTGTCCAAGCCTTTTACTACAGAACATAAAGAGTGAGGTGGAGAATGAGGGTGGATGTGCTATGGTGTGGTTTTGTGGTTTTGCAGAGGCAGTGGTCTACGGCCCTGACTTACCGGCCGCCCAAACTCCAGTTCGGAAAAGAACTTATACCAAGGCTCGTTCTCTAAATCTATGTCATCACAGGTCTGGGAAAAGCATGACAGTGACAGAGAAGAGACAAAGGAAAGGGGGAATGGAGAGAGGTCACATAGAGGTCACAGCGAGACATGGAGCTCATGGTTAAGAATGGGCCAAGGTGGCAACTGAGATGGACACAGAATGAACCAAAATGAACAACTCAGATAGATGTTTCAAAATTTAAAAATAACAGTAATAGTGGAGCTTATAATACAAATGAAATATATTCCATCATGGCTGCAGTTTGGGAAAAAATAAAATAACTGTGACAACCATTGCGATGAAGATTAAATTTACGTTTGATGGAGCAGGATTCTGTTCACATTTTAAAGACGTCCAGAAGCATTTAATGTTCTGATCTACTAATAGAAAGGTCATATGCGTTTCAGAACAAGGTCTAAACAACAGGAGCTTTTCCATAATAAGAGAATTTGTATTCCTTTATGGTATTCCTGTTTTTAATCATGGTGCTAAGCAGACTTTGCTTGCTTTTTTTTTATACAATTGCAATTAATCTCGAAGCCTTATATTCCACTAAGAGATGCAATTTACATGTTTTCTTATTTTCTTATTTAGACTGGACTGCTAAGTATCAAACCAGTAAACATTTACACCCTACCTATTCTGAATGAAAAAGTAATATGAGAAGTACTAAGCGCTATATTGTTATTTTCTACTAGTCTGATTACCTTGATTTTGGCCTTTATACAGAGCATCACATCCCTTTTTTAAGGTTTCAGCTCCTGCAAATGTCACACTGTATGACAAGTGCTAATCTCACTTTCTATTTCCAGACTCGTTGTGAGATGCAGAACTGCAGTTGACAATCACAATCACTTCACTTCCAGAATGTTTTACACAGAAATGAAAGCGAGGGATCCAAACAAAAATACTTAGCTTTAGTTACTTAAAGCACTGAAAACAAGATACTAATCGATAATGAAACTATTATTAAACTAGATACTCATTTGAGCAAGTATCAATACTAAAATATAACATCACAAGTCTACAAGACCACAAAGACTATCACAAGCCTATTCAATATTGAAAAATTATATTCTATTGTCTAAATAAAGAGTGTCTTATTTATTATAACTGTATCCAAATTGTAGACTATTCCTTATTCTTCTATTCTTACCACACAACAATTCCTACCTTTGACGTGTGCCTCAGTTGTATCAAAAGAACAAATCACCAGCCAGAATATTTTTTTCAGTCTGCGTATTTGCTGGCGTGGGTTCACTGTCTATTACAATCTGACTCATGCGTCTGTGCCCTGGAACTGCGAAGCTGACTTCCCATCTCCCGTCTCTTACAATTACCTGGTGGCTATGTTTCTAGGTCTCTATGCATTCTCATTATTTTTCTGTCATTTGTCATTCATCCCTCACATTTTAAACCACCAGCAGCCATGAAGTAAGCTCCAGCTTTGGACACATTAGCTTCTTTCACCTATACTGCCAAATATGCCAAAGCCAAATAATTGATGGAAGAGGAAAAACACATTATCAACTTTAAGGTCTTAGAGAAGTATGCAAAACCTAGAATTTGAAAAACAATGATGGAATTCTGAAACACTCACCGGTCTCTCTTGCTCTAAAATCGAGGACTTTCCAGGCTCATATTCAAAAATACTCTTGGGCTCAGCACGATATTTCCTTGTGTCTACTTTCCTGTCTGGAGGGCCCCATTCATTCCTTCTGCAAGAAAACCAAAAAGAAAATACGTTTTGGTAAAAGCTGATATTAAAGGGTCTGTACCTGATTTTAGATCATTCTTATCAAGATAAATGTTCTTTACATCATGTATTGTATGACAAAAAGTACTTAATAATAAGAACAGAATTTCACTTCCAGTGCAAAATATAATCTATTCATTTTAGGATTTTCTTGGGTAATAACTAATAGTTAATAACAGTTGTTGAGGAAAACAACCTTTTCCTTTCGTGTTTGTTAGTTTCTGCTTAGATAAGAAATGACTTGAAACAGAAATAAAGTCCAGATAATTTACTTATTCCAATATTAGAAAGCCATACTGGTACAAGGAGTCTGTGCCAACATTCCCATGCAGAGACTCAATGTTTACGCCTATACAATGACTTTCATAAGCAAACTATAGTGGGAGGCTACCGCGGTTTAGACTTAGCGCCTCTTCATTGGTGTGCAGGTCAGCCAGGCCTCTTGGCACATTGCACAGTCCAATCAGACTCCATCCAGGGTGTTATCTGGCTAACAAGTCATGACATCATCCCTATCAGTACTTCTAGTCCTATTTAGTTAGTTTGCTATGGGATATATTGGAATATCCTGCATTTGTCTTGACATATATCTATGAGTCTCACAGCTGTGATCAAAGCCCTTATCTTTGGTACAATAATGAACTAAAGAAGTGATTATACAAAATAGCTAAACCTAGTTATTTATCCTAACACAGTCACCTTTTTGGTCCAGTGGGAAATCATGGGAAACAAACTGCCTTGTTCTCTGTCATGGTGCGTTTACAAGAGAGTCAAAAAAGCTTAAAGAGTGGAGGGTCAAAAATTTCAAAGTAAAATGTGTTTCTGACTCGTGTATGATTTTTGTATGTAATAACGCAGATTAAACTCATAATTCACAAGTTTAATCTATCTTTATAAAAAGTACATTGTTTCTTATTACTTTTTTTTGAATAAATAGTTTTTGCATTAACTCCCCTGTAGGTGAAGTCTTGTGAGTGCAGTTTGGGTTAAACACATAAACATATTAGTCATCTTTTTAGTCGACTAATCAATCATCAGGACATGTCTTTAGTTTCAAGAATTTCTTTAGTCAATTACCGCCCTTATCATATTACATTTTGAATCAAACACTTACATATCGGAGCCCTCCTTGCCTCGATCGCTGTCTCTTGCTCGTAGCTGCAGGATGGAGGGCACAGCAGGAGAGGGCGGGGGGACAGGCGAAGGTGCGGGCTCTGGAAGGCGCCCGTTGTCGGAGGGGCTTTTGGCGAGTGGTCTGTATGTGTGAGTCTTAGGTGGAGGATGGGCCATAGTGATGGTTGATGACAGATTGTAGTCTTCTGTTTGGTGAAAGAATGGGGAAATAAAAACAAAGAAGCATGTAAAAAAGGGAAAATTGATAAAATTATAGTTAAATATGTGTATGCGCTATGTGTATCTCTCACCATTGTTTATTACTGCATATGCTGCATTATATGTGTCGGAATAGTCATCATCTGGAAAAGAAAGAACCAGATTACAAAGATATATGACTGCATAGTAATATAAAACAAAGTACTATGGCTTAATGTTCAAAATTACATTCTGTAGTTTAAATGAAAAGTGTTTTTTATACTCATCATGGTACCGAGTATCAGTTTGAAGTTCTAGTATTGTGGCAACACTAGAACCAGTAGCTATGTAATAAATATTTAACTCATAAATGTACTGTTCATTTATACATTATGTATAATAGCCCGATAACCCAACAGCACAGGACTTTTACAAAACACAGATGCACCTCGATAATATTTTAAACAACCCAAGGAAAAGCGAAAGAAAATTTTATTCTGTGACAAAAGTTCACCACCTATTCAAGCGGCTTCCTCAGTCCTGATAGGTGAATGGTGAGTCAATGGTCAATTTCCAATCAGAACTGAAGAACCTGGATTGTTCATTTTAGTGAAAAAGAGATTTTCTGAACAAATTGTCAACACGATGTAGAAAGTGATTCAAGATTCAACTTCTCACCTCAGTGGAAAGAGGCTACATTGTTCAGAAATACATTTTAGATACATGCCATTTTTCAAAGAATTGTCCAGCTAGCAGAATTTCCAATATGTCTGTCGTTCCAGTGATGTAATGTTTAGTTTTAAGGTGCACTGCGTAACTTTTCTGATGGAGGGTCTGTCAAGAGTGTCTCTGTGATGTTATTGCTTTGCCTGGGATGATCCTCAGTATGGCCCTCAACAAATATATCTTGCATTTATTCAATTACAAGAGTTTTATTTCTCAAAACTGACACAAAACATGCATTATTACCATAAGTGAGCGCACTTCTGTACAGATCTGACCTGAAAGTTGGCCTGGTGATGTGTCTGCCTGTCTCCATGGAGATAGTTAAATTAAATGCCATACTGTAGAACATTCCAGGAAAAAAAATGATAACATCTACATCGAATCAAGCAGAAAAGTTACGCAATGCACCTTTAAGATTTTTAAACTAAAAGGTACAATATGTCATTGCTCTGCATTATACAGCTCTACTACATTCATTTAACTACAGGTGGTTTTATAGCTCAAAAATACCTAGAAAAACAATTATTCTGACTGTGAGCGGGGTTGCCTCTCCACAGATCTGACCTGTGAATGACAGGCTGGACTGGAGGGACAACTGTAATACTGTGTACAAGGACATGAGTAGACTCTACTTCCTCAGCTCAGGTCTTTCAATGTGTGCAGCAGGTTACTGGAGATCTTCTACCAGTCTGTGGTGGTAAAAGGTACACTGGGTGGATTGACACACTGATCCGTAAAGCTGGTCATGCTGGACATTTGTCACACTGAGGGACAGGAGGACACTGCACAAACTGCTCAGGACAGATAATACTCCCTACAACTGTACAACATCTCACCCTCTGCACCAGACTATAAATGGACACAGCAGCTCATTCTCCAATAGACTCCTACAGCTCTGCTCAAACAGTGAGAGATACAGGACTACATTCATACTATAATACTCCCTACAACTGTACAACAACTCACCCTCATGTAATGGATACCCCCATGTCCTGTCAGTCATCATATTGTTGCATTGTCTTCCTATCACCTCTTGTATAAAACTGTGATTTTACTTTATTACTTATCTTTATATTTTATTTTTACTGGTATATTTACATTTTATGTCTTATTTGACATGTGTCTCTTTCTGTCTTTTTTGCTACTTATTTAGAATGTAATATTACCATTTATATTTTTGCTCTTTGTTAAGATATTGTATTGTGATGTGTGAGCTACTGTGTCCAAGTAATTTCCCTTGTGGATCAATAAAGTTTGTCTAAGTCTAAGTAACATGGTTTGGTTTGGTCTCCATGAAGACACAATGCCATACTGTGAAACATTCCAGCCAAAGGAATGACATCACCATGTGGAAAAGCTTTTGATGGACAATTCACTGAAAAGTTACACAATGCACCTTTAAAACTGCAAAACTGTTGGGAAAAATAAAATAATCAATGACCAGAGCTAGGTCTAGAAGAGCTGAAGATGCTTGGACGGTTTTGAACAAGCAGGCCTTGTACTAACTGTGTGATTTTGTCGAGCCCACAAAATTGTAGCCTATTTCCCAGGACGGCGTTGTGTCTATTAGAGGTTGCTTCAAATTCCCTTCCTCTATCTGCTCACTTCACTCCAGATAATGAGTTTTGGCTGGAAGTCCATTGGGGCTTTTGGCTGAACAAGAACTTGCTATGCACAGCCGCACAAAGAAAACGATGCATGAAGCACAAACAGCCCCAAAGAAAACAGAAAGTAAGTGATGAGATTGTTGTCTTACCCGCTTTGTGAACTTTATGGATCTGCTTGAACATTGTCTTGTACCACTCTTTTGGCCTGTCCACTGTCTGTAAAGAGAAACATATTTAGTCTTTATTCCATTATTTTTTGGGTAAAATTTATAATAAAAAAATAATATCTGGATCTTTTTTTAATTGAATTTTACGGCCTTGATCAAGTTTAAATGTAATACGCTGAATAACAAGTTAGTAATGTAATACGCAATCTCCTTCAGGTGGCTCTTCAGTTTGTGGGTTTACCTCAATTACAGTTAATTTCATCCACATTTCTGTCCGTTCAAGATAATTTCTTGTTTAGAACTACAGAGGAAATGCTGTAGTCCACTTTTAGACCTAGTTTGGCCCTAGATTAGATTAGGACAACAATAGCCCTGTTATAGACCTGGTTTAGATCTGATAGTGAAAAGCCAAATCTTTTCTTTGGTGGTAATTGGTGTGAGCCACTGATTTTTTTACATTATTGACAAGATGCTATTGTTGGCTCACCATAGTTATTACACGACTGACCTGTTATTACATTTAAACTTGGCCAAAATGATTATATTATTGACCGTTATTACATTATTGGTGATTATTACTATAGTTGTACCATAGTTTGAATGTACAATATGCCTGATTGGGCAAAAGGTGAACCTGACAGCAGCTTCTGTATTAGAAATGCTACAATGTAAAATGAAAAGATAATGTTTTACTCTCATATAATGCTTTCTTATTTAGCTGCTTTTATTATACAATGCAAAGTAAGAGCCTTTACCTTGACAATAATACATTTAAATCATGTATAGACCCTTTAACTTGTATCAATGTTGTTGTTGTTGTTAGGCCTGTCAGGATAACACATTTTGATGCATAATATATTTTTGATGTAAATATAGATGGTAAAAATGATGGTGATAATACTGAAACATATTTACCCCATGAAAAAACAATATACTCTATATGTACAATGTTGTTAAAAAACATGAGCTGCAAATAATAAAAAGCAGAATGAAACACTTTACTAGCAGGATACAACTAAAATGAGTCATAAAACTTACTTAGTCAACCCTCTGGAGTTAAAATATTATTGTAGAATAGAAAAATAACAAAAGGTTCCCCACTATTACAAAGAAAAAGTACCAAATATACATACTGACTCCCAAAACTGAATGTTCCATCTATCATGTACTGAATTATAAGATGATGCAGTAATTATTGTGGCAGACCTAAATGTTGTGCTAAGTTTTTATATAATTTTTTTTGTGACAAAAACTGAGTTGAACCAGAGCTAGAAATACACTTGACTCTGGAGGTCCTGCCACAGAAAATGTGCTGAAACGCTGGTATGTGTGTCACTGTGAACAAAGTATAGATTTAACAGCCACTTCAAAAGGCGCTATCAAATAGCTGAGACCTAATCCTTTCCTTATTTGTATGGTACTAAACACAGTGTGAAACAAGAGGAAGTTTGTGTATCTTTGGCTTGGACTTCAGAAAGCCCAATAAATTTCCTCGGTTACCAAACAGAGGCCACAAAAATGTTTGTGCGAAAAAAGCTTCTGTATTTGATCATTTCCTTTTGCACCTTTTTCACAGCTGGTTTAGAAATCCTCACAATCCTATTTTTCATGCTTTCAAGAATGTGCTTATTGTGTGCCTCTATTTGTACAGAAGCTTTGTCTGTGAAAGAGAAAAACTAAGATATAACACAATAAGAAAGATAATATAGAAATATAGTTGTTTCACACATTGCATATAAATTAGGGTATTATTAAGGTATTGTTGTATAAATGTAATAATTGCCCCTAAAAAAGATGAAACAAACAAAAGACAAAACAACAAAACCTAAAAAAAAAAAAAAATAAATAAATATTGAATGTCAAAAAATAGTTTCAAATCTCTAAATTAAATACTTCATGCTTAGATTACGACCATAAACTGTATAGAGAAGTGGACAAAGACTGATGTCACCCATACAGCTCGGCTCTGGTCAAATGAAGCTCATGAGGCTAGAGGGTATATAGGAGCGAATTTGGAGCCGAGTTCCATAATGGGAATAGGAATTTATTGCCCGGCAAAATAGCGGAATAAAAACACTAGCATCATGTAGACCCGGTTTATACAAACATTTTATGACCAAAATGACACGGCTCACAGCAGCAGTACACAGAAAGACAAATTTCTCAATATAAAGTCAATTGGAAACAGAGTAGACTGAGTGGAAGTGCACTCATACTCACTTCCTATCTGAAATATGACAGGTAGTGGGTTAGCTATGTCCCTTTATATATACAGTCAATATCTTTCTGAAATGGCACCATGTGAACTTACAGTGCGGATTGCAATAGGAATGCCAGTATCATCCACAGGTCCAATGCCTTCATAATGTGGAGCTTTAATCACTGATACTTTCTTCTCTTCTTCTGAGAAACGGGCGATGGGCACTGTGACGGACGTGTGGCCACTCACTATGGATTCTCTTGAAGCAGATTCGCTCCCTTCTAAAAAAAAAACAAAAAACAAAAACAAAAAACAATAGGACACAATTAATTACACTTACATGCAGTTAAGCAACATTACATGAGCCAAATGGCTTAGATCCAGAATATTTAATATTGTTGTTATATTATTATTCATTTAATTAGTTGATATGTCATAGTTGATTTCAATGGAATTTATATCGTATTGGCATCTTATTGCTAAATCTTATCTGTTAATGAAAGAGGAGGTACATTATGAATTTTTTTTAGTTGGAATGTCTGCCAAGTTACAATGGTAATGAACTTCTAAATAAGTAACATGTATATATATACACACACACACACACACACACACACACACACACGCACACACGCACACACACACACACTACTATAAATACAATATACCACAGTTACATACAAGATGCATACACGCATCAATGAAACAAAACACAACTCCAGGTATGTTTGTGATGGAAATAACATCTGCTTTTGCAGTGCATTTTTGGCTACACTTCATCTAATCAGCTTCTGATTCTACATCAAGGCACCAAACTCTTAACATGGTGTGACTAACCTGTACTCCTGCTCTGCCTGTGGACGCCTTTGTGAAGGGATTTAGGAGGAGAGGGGTACGACGGCGGAGAGAGGGGCCGCTGTGGAGGACCAGAGCTTCCATTCATGGCATGAGACAGGACCTGGCCCTACAAGTGACCCACAGGAATTAAGAATCATTGAACTCATCCAACACAGAACGGTAATATGAACATACATTTCTACCACACGGCGTAAACTATTATTTGGATTATTTTTAAAGGTTAGTTCAACAAGAGTGCTCATCAAATAGATACAATTTGGATTTTGAAGAAAGAGAACTGACAAGACAGGAGATGCAGAAATGAGTGTACCTGGTATAAGTTAGTGGGAGTAGGATAGAAGACACTGGTGCAAACACAGATGGTAAAAAACAAAACTGGGCAAATATTTATTTTTCTTCATCTAATAGGCTCTGTGTACAACAGCAGCTGGTTATTTCAAATCAGAGAGACAGTAAGCAACTACATTTCCGCTATGATGTAATATTTATGAAGTTTTTGTAGAGTCTCGCAAAAAACAATAAATACTACCAGATCAGGGAATGGACAGCTGCATGGCATCACTGACAACATGGTAAACACTTAACAAATGTGGGGAAAACAGGACACTTCTGTGTTGACAAAGGTACATCTTTGTGTGTCTGTTAATAAATATTTACATAACTCCACATTAAATTCAACATTTCAATTGTCCTCCATTGAAGTGACACCCGCAGTTCTCTGTTCACTGCCTGTTCAGTCAGTATTTACTGGTTTTAGTGTTTAGTTTTAACTCAACACAAACCTCACAGACATTACATTACACGCTAAATGGCTACGCTGACTGTCCCTCTGACCAAAAGCTGCCATTATGCACAAAGTAAATTGATTGCAGAGTTTAAAAAAAGAAAACAAAATTCATTTGCCCACTACTTTTTCTGTTATGCTCTTTTGTGTTAAGACATTACCCAAACAAAATAAATAAAAAAGAGCATAAAATTACAAAGTATTATCTATCCATCACAACATAAACTCCACACTCGAGGAAATATATCTAATATTAGATTTATATGCATAAGCAGAAAACTATTAATAGTATTTAAACAAGGAAAAGCACATTACAAGCATCTAAGAAAACATAACAATAAGTAGAACAACACTGACACAAAACGGGAGCACTAACGGCGGATATTATTTCTGGTATCACACAGGAAAGTTGTTTGGTTAGTACAAATGTCTTGGATTCTGGGTTAAAAAACAGTCAGTCCAAGTGCAGAGGGTGGGACGTTGGTTGTGTGTTACAGCGATAATTACATTAGTGACAACGGTGGCAGCAGCGGAGGAGGACACAGGGGCAGTTAGAGCGTCGTCAGCCCCGGTGGTGGAGGTGTAGGCGGAGGCGAGGCTCAGAGTGGGCGATGGGGTGGGAGAGGCACCGGGGGAGTCCAGACTACAGATCTGCAGCTCGTCCAAAAGACCCGCCGTGGAGGTGGAGTAGTGACTGAGCGCTGACACGGTCACAGGGGAGGTGGACGGCGACGCGAAGCCACTGATGCTGGAACTACCCGCAGTGCTAAGGCTCGGCCCGCTCACAGTGCCTACAGTACTGCTGGCCCCACTGGGGACATATGGGGTGGGAGACAGGGCCTTGGGCAAGATACCAGACAGGTAGTCCAGGGACTCAGAGCTGTGGAAGCGGTAGGGGGAGTGGCGTGCACTGGAGTCTGGAGAGGGAGGGCCCTGGTGGTGGAGTGGGTAAGAACAGGAAGGAAAGGAGGAGAGTGATATCACCCATTAGTCACACGGTACAAAGATCTGGCATCAACAAACGGTGAAATGCAGTTAAGCCAAGGTTTGCAGAAATGTCTTCAGAGATGGCAATATTCTGTGAACTGAAAAGGAGTGGTTAGTTCATCCACAGCAAAAGCAAAAGTAACGCTTGTCGAAACAGGATTCATCACAAAAATCCACACAGTTAGTTTGGTTTGTCTGAACTGCACACAGCGTTATGTCAGCACATTAACATAGCTGCATCACAAAACTATTATTCCCTTTCCATGTGTGATACCAATGCTCAAACGATATGCTAATATTTTACAGTTGACTCATGAGTGTAATAAAACTGCAAACTTATTGCACTGCTCGTCTCATTCTAGTTGAACACAATTGCAACACTTCGAAATTTATGAAAGAAAAGAAAAGGGGCTTCATGGTAAGTGTCTGAACATGTTTCATATTTGGTATCCACTGTGATAGCAGTAACTTTGTACCAAGATATGTGCAGCCGAAGGTCTTGGAGGCACAGCTGGTGGGGGCTTCTCCAGGTCGGCAGGTCCATTGGAAGGTTCTGTCTTCGGAGATGGATCTGGGACCTTCAGCTCTTCAGTAGGCGGAGTTGGCTGTTGTTCTTGCTGTTGAACACTTTCTGTTCCGAAGCTGACAGACTCTGAGGCTGCCAGATGTGAGGGTTTTGAAGGGGTGGGATCGCTCTGTGCACTTTTTTGAGCAGTGGTTGTAGCTTTGGAGTCAGTACTGATGTAAGAATTGAGATGAGCAGGTGGGTCGGGGATGGGGACAGGGGTTAATTGGAGCGAAGACACTTTACGTTCCTGGCAGTTAGACACATTAGACGCCATGTTTACGTCTTCCGCGGCTGTAGACTGTGGTATTATTGGGGCGGGTGCTTCTGGCACGGACTGCTCGGTGATCTCGGAGTAGGCATAGGAGGAGGTGCTTTTTATAGTGTAGGACTCTTTGACAACAGCAGTCTCGCTCTGGGTAAACTGCAGCATTCCAGGGCTCAAGTCATTGGCAAGGGCCACTAGAGAGCTGTAAGATGGTGGATTAGTGCCAGGGAGTGAGAAATGAAAACTGTCTCGTCTGGGGGGTGGGGATGGCATGCGATCCATGTCCTTACAGGTTAATAAAATGTAGTAATAAAAGAAGATTGAAAAATGAGGAAAAAAGAATATATTTTATTTAGGTAGTAAAAATACAATATAAATGTGAAGGTAATAGCAACCCAGACACACAGTAACTCAATCAAGAATTTGTAGAAAAATATGGTAAAAGCTGAAGTAATCATACTAATCCTGTCATATCATGTCATATATCAAGACTTAACACCTTTTTAGGCCAACATGAAACAAAAAAATGACATATAGCTGTGTCTCTGATTGCTATTATTTACTCTATACAATATACTATTAGACCTGTCACGATAACACATTTTGAAGCATGATATAATGACAATAGACTTTTTTTTTTGAAGCAATAACTAGCTGTAGATGTTACTTCTTCAATCCTCTACAGCTGAAATATTTTCACTCATCACTATTGCAAAGAAAATGTATATCCATCTGCACGAGCCCAGATTTTTCCAGCTATCATGTATTTAACAATACGTCAGTATCACAATTATCGTGACAGGCCTATAAGGTATATTAGTCATGAGCCTTTGTCAATCCAAGTTTCACCAAAAACATGGTCAGGGAAAGAAATTAACTGAATAATCTAAATGTAAAAGAGGCACATCTGGTCATGTGCTGGGAAGAGGTGGTTTACCTGCGAGGGTGACTTTTTGTCCTGCAGATTGGGCCTGACACTGCGGAAACCTTTGGCAGCGAGTGAGGAGCTGCTGGCGTCTCCATTTTTAAGGCCATCTGTGACACTGCTGGAGCGCCATGAATCTGAGGGTTGAGGATTAACATCACCAGGTTTGTCCTTAGTCACACTCAGTTTAGCTGGACAAATAATGTTGGATCAGTAACTAGCTTACCCAAGTCTGAAGAGTGAGAATCATTCCCTGAGAACCACAAGACAAAGAAAGTAAATGTGCAAAAGTGAGAAGAAATATTTTGAGATGACTTTGTAGTGAAATTGCTTCTCATGCAAAGATCTCTTTTCCAGCTATTATAGAATGTGCTGTGATTATGATTATTAACACCCTCAACACCTTTATAATTTTTTACACATCTGATTCTAATATCTTGCAGAAACACCTTCAGCCGGATGCGATGAGATTCCAGCCACTTCCCACATCTTCCTAGTCATACAGTACCCACATCTGACAAAGTAGCAGTTTCTACATCCAGTGTGCTGTGTGCACAGTGGCTGTCCTCTCAGAGGAAAGTAATTCCTGTGTTCAGTTCCTGGAATGGAAGAAGCATTTCTGTGTGGAGTTGGCATGATATCCCTGTGTCTGTTTAGGTTTCTTCCAGGTTTCCCTAAAAGCATGTGGGCCAGGATGGCCCTTTGTGATGACAAAACATTTCAAGACTAACGTTCCATCTGAATTACTCTATTTTATTTTCCAGTTTTTATAATGAAAAAAAAAACTGCATATTTTTTAGCTTTACCTGAACAACAGTTCAGAAAGTAGTCCTATTTGAAATGGGTTATTATTGCTTTAAAGTTATCTAAAATATTAAATGATGAGACAAATTTGTATAAATAGCCAAATGTCACAATCTTTCTACAATGTGCACCATGTGCTGGTCCTAAATTCAGAGCTGACAGAGCCTGAATGTCCAAAGAGAGACATAAAGAGTAAAAGGGGTGCTGACAAGGTGTAGGAGCAGACACTGCTCCATCAGCAGACTTCACACAGACCAGTGAGGGAGGCCATTCTGTTTAAACTAGTCCTTTGAAAAAAATATAGTATAACATTCTCTGACCAAAGTAGAACACAATATAAAAGATGAACAAGCCAAAGATCAAAATCAAGAAATAAACAGTAGCAATATCACAGAGCAGCACAAACATAAAAGGTACAGAAGCAGCAAAAGCAACTGAAACTTTCAAAGTCTTAGTTGTCGAGTTGTAACTTAAAGTGGAACTAAACACTAAATCCCCTGTTTCACTACAAAATTGTATATATAGTGTTTTATTAGATTTATCTACTATTCATTTTGGAACATTTAGTGCAAGCTAGGTAAATCTGATCAAAAATGCCTACGCAAGTGTGTGCCTTAAGTGGCTTATGAAATTTCCAGTAAATGGTGATATCACACATGACAGGTGCTTCTGATTCTAAACACCTGCCTGAAGATGCAGAGATTGAAGAGCGGTTACCAATCACCAATCAGCAGTGTTAGACCAATCACACTGTACCTCTAGACCCTGCCCCTGCTCCCCCCTCACACTTTTAGCTCACTGACACTGCCCAGTTTAGCAGCTCTATGTGAAAAATTGTTATGAGTGGAGTTTAGTTGTTATAGGTTTTAGGTGCATTGTACTTCTTGATTGACAGTATTGTGTACAGTGTTTGTGAGAGTTAGTACCTGTGGCTAGATTGGGGTAGCTCTGGACCCTCTTCATGGGAGAGAGTATAAACGACAAAGCCACACTTTTGTGAGCATATCCTCCGCTATCTGAGAAATCACAGCCGAGCAGGTGACGGCAGAGGCAGCAGCAGCAGAACACATGCACATGCAAATAAACAAACACACTGATAATGCAACCAGCCATAAGAAAGGCACACAACCCATGCATCACAACGGTTATTCAGGAGGAGTGTGCTGTTTTGGGCATTTAAAGGGTGTATATTACACATTCTTGTGAACTTTATAATTTATTAATGGTACCTCATCAAAAACATACCTGAAGTTGTGTTTTGTTTCAGTCGCACGTTTGAGTAATCCTTTCTTTGTTATTAGTCTGTCTACATATCCAAAGCTCAAAATGCCCTGTTTCACCCTGTGAAGTCATGCAGGTGTTGTTTTCAGGTTTAACTACCGTTTTACCTTTAGTTCAGTAGAGTTTGGCAATTCAATGGCCGAAATTATCCAAATGATTTTATGGATAATCAAGTTAACCATGTGTTAGAGGAATGAGTAGTCTAAGCTCATAGGTGCTATTAATTTGTACAAAGGCTTTGCATATAAATGGTCGTATATTCTTCTTGCAAGTAACCACTTTTCTGAAAAAACATAAACACAAGCTATAATAAAATGTATTGCATAGTCCTAGCATTGTGTACTGTAAATGTAGTCAAACAGGATCTGCATGCTGCATTTGCATTGTTGTAAGTACAGGCCTGAGAGATCCTCATTGATTGTGCATCTGAAATACACACTCGAGAATGGCTGGCTGCCAGGTGCAGGATGAGCTTTGGAAATGTTTGGAAGGAAGCACGCATCACTGAGGCTCAAAGCAACAGGGGAATATTATCCTTATTATTATCCTTATTGATGCTTTTATTCACAATAACTCAGGCCACATGGATCAGCGCCAAAGTGAACAGGGTCAGGCTTAAAGTTTCACTGTGATTTGTGACACAGTTAGACCAGCACACATCACAGCTTCGAAATAGACAAGACTTTCATGTGTTCACCTATAGGCTGCTTTTAAGTAAGAAGTGTATCTCATAATTATAATGCTGTAAGAATAGACATATTTATTTTAACAAAATAAAAGTCCTGTTGCATTATCGTTCTTTACTCACAATGCTGCTGTGTAATTTTGCATAACTAATACATGTAATCATATAATCAGTTAATGTGCAGTACTGTAACATAATGTGAATCATTAGTACAATTCACTCAGGTCATTTTACCTGCTCTTTATGGGTTATTTAATCTGTCCATATGCTGCACTGTAGATAATCACAGTCAGAGCCTCATAGCACACAGGTTTTATAGCCTTATAGCTTTACTTTGGGTGTAACAGTGTTGTGTTACATTTAATATCTTTTGTTAAAATTGTTTTATTCTCCTGCTGTGTCTGAACTTCCCTCAAATGTGGGGCAAATAATGGTTTGTCTTATCTTATACTCATTAGTTCACAGATTATATGTTTTGTCAGACTTTGAATATCCAAAATAGCCACTCCTCCCAATCAAAGACATAATCAGACAAATGTTTTAAAAGTCATGGGGCTACATACCTGTATTCATACTGAAGAGCACTTTTGACTGGTTGGAAGAGGGACAATTTTCTGTAAAAAGAGATAAGTACATGTGCGTTAGCCAAAGAAAGGTGTGCGTGTGAACGGTTTAATAATATGAATCCATTAGTAAAATAAATGATTGCTGCACTATCAAGATGAAGATCAAGATCAAGCATCACAAACAAATACTTTTTTAGCATAACTTATATTATCTGATGTCTGAGAAACTTTGAAAAATACAAACAAGTTATAAGCTTTGATTTGACCAAACACTTTTATGTCAGCGTCAGTACCAAGTTAATTATCATCACGGTAGCATCAATAGCATTCTTTTGCAATAATACTAATTAAATTAGCATTTAAAATGATCTCTCTTCTTCTTTGCTTAAGCATCTGGACAAATGATAGATAAAAGGAATAGTTCTGACAGAGATTGTACTATCCACAACAATGTTAAAAACTCTATTTCTATTCAAAGACCACTTCTAGGAACAGTTCGAGTAAAGCACCCAGTGACTGATATAAATGGGAATGACTTCAAAGCCAAAGATGCAATACAGAGCCACATGTTTGTATGGGTGAATGTGCGGTGTGTCATCAGGAGACTAAGTCGATGTGACAGATAGGACATGAGAGCATCTACAATGGCAGCAGGCAGGATCAGCAGGGATCTAAATATCAACCACTTACACAGTTAACACTGCTCTCCTCACCTACATGTTATTTTAGAGACTGCATTCACTGTCAGGGACCAAACAAGTGGAATGCTCCATGTTCAACAAACCCTAAATACCATTTCTTGTTTTTTCAGTTAAACTGTCAAGCTCCATAGTTACACATAACATTTAACAGCCACAAAGTGCGTAAAGATGCTCTATTAAACAAAATTAACTCTTGTGAGATTTTAGCTGTGAAAAACATACCTAGAGTTATATTTTGTTTCATTCACATGTTTGAGTAATTCTTTGTTATTTGTCTATCTACATCTCTAAAGCTCAAAATGCTCTCTTCCACCTTGTGATGTCATGTGGTGGGTTATGTGGTGGTAGTTTTCATGTTAAAAGCTAACTTCTACCTTTTGTTCAGTAGAGAGAGGCAATTCCAAGGCTACAATTATTCAAATGATTACAGCGAACATGTATGGAGTTTAAAAACACAGTGGAGCGCTTCCTTGATGAGGAAAAACATTATAACACTCATCAGAAAATTGCATACTATAGACCTTTTAAAAGCCTGTTACAAACATTGGATTTTTATTGAAAGTTGATGTCAGACAATGCCCATTTCAAACAAAACACACAAGTCTAATAAAAGCCTGATTAAACTATTACTTAAAAATAGCAATATCGGAGTGCTGCACTGAATCAAAAAAACGCATACAGGTGCTCATCAGACCAGAGGGCTCGAATTCTTGTTGAGAAGAAAGAGGATAGCAGAGTATTTATTAATGGTCATGCCGTGATGTGTTTCGACTAATTATGAGTTTTCATTAGGGCTGATTACTGTTACTCATTTCTTTCATTGTCAAGAATGTTTGGGGCATTTGACAACTTATCTTGATGATAATATTGAGATAGTGAAACCAACACAACCTGTAATCTTCAAATCCATAATTGCAGTGATCAAACTGCATTGAATACCAAAGAGTTAAAGTCCGCCCAGCCATAATCTTGCCTAGTTATTGTTGGTGAGGAGAAAGTGTTGTTAGCTGAGACCTAGATCCCTGCAGACCTAATCCTCGGCTGCATACGTCCTGTCCTCATAAATCTATCTGGGAAACACACAGGCTGCAGCAGGGTAAATCATGGAGCTGGCGTCGCAGGCTGTCGGCGTCCAAATGATGGTCAGATTATAAACAGGATCGGGTTTCGGGGGGACAGATCGGAGGCGACTCTGCAGCTGTGGCCCTGGTGTAATGTTATGGCTGGACACAGTGAGGGAAAGCCACCCGGGCACGGCTCCTCCACGCACTGCCAACACTCTTCACTTGTATTCTCAAGGCCCTGAAGGCACTAAAAGTTTACTAATGGTATTTTATTACATACATAGAAAAATATAATTACAGTTTTAAGATGTGAGCATAAATGGAAGAGGCGGGTATTACTCAGTTACATTTACTTGAGCACTTTTTAAAATAATTTTTACTTTTCAGAGTACTTTTCTTTTACTCCTACTTGAGTGATATTTTTATTAAAGTAACAGTTCTCTTACTTGAGTAAACATTTTGGTTACTCTTCCCACAGTAGGTCTACAAGTAACAAAAGCTTTTTATTGACAATATGAAATTATTGGAACATTTGTGTTTCTTGCACTTTTTTGGTAGAGTAGTTTTTGTAATTTTTGTGTCTATCCTTAGATATAAATATCAGATATGATATAATTTTTTGTCCTTCAGATAACATTACATTACAAATAAAAAATCAGACGATAAGTTTCCAAATACTTTTTTACTTTGACTTGAGTAATTTCTTGGACCACTACATTGTACTTGCACTTGAGTAAAATAACTTTGAAGCACCAATACTCTGGAGTACAATTTTGGCTGATAAATTGAAACATGCCTATTCTAACCGCCTCTATGGGAGATGTAACTTTAAATCTTCAACCGACATCAGTTATTCAGACGGTAATCAGAGGGAAACCAGCCCTAGTGCACTGTTTTAGTCCACGCCTTCTCACAGGCCCGCACTGCTCCTGTGGAATGACTGGGGTGACCACCAGCTGGCGCCTCACTGTTTTGCTTGTAATAAAAGTTTATTGACAGCTAGCTTGGTCTGTGTTTCACTTTTGGCTGTGCTTCACTCTTGGCTTTTAAATTTAAAGGGCTCATATGCTATTTTCTGATCTATGTTATAATGTTTCCTCATCAAAACATATCTGAGTTGTGTTTTGTTTTATTCAAACATGTTTAACACACAAACCCTGCATATTTCGGCGTAGAGTTCTTCTCTCAAACAGAAAACACTGTTCCACCTTATGATGTCATGTGGTAATACAGGAATTTCACTGTGTTGTTAAACTCCATACACCTTCACTAACATCATTTTGATCATTTTAGTCATGGAATTGCCAATATAACCTGAACAAAAGGTAAAAGGTGTCTGTGAACTTAAAAACTACTACTAAATTACTAATTAATTCTAAAACAACAGAGCAACAGAACAGACATTTTAAGCTTTGGAGATAGACTAATAATAAAAGGTTACTCAAATGTGTGTGAATAAAACAAAATTCAACTCTAGTTATGTTTTTGATGAGGTAGCAACATTTTAACATGGCTTAAAGGTCACAAGAGTCAATTCTGTGCAATAAAGAAACTTTAACAGTAATAAATAAAGAGAAGATGGATTTTTCATTTGGATGAATAATGGGATTTATTTTCAGGAAGGAGCTGTCTCTGTTTGCTCTGTAAGTTGTCCTGAAACATTCAGATGAGCATCTAAAAATCAAGTGGGCTATTAGTAGTATTTACTGACACTCTAACCCACGCTTGGACCTCATGGAGCACAGAATGAATGAATTGTTTGATCACACATCAAATGAGCTGACGTAAAACAAGAGAATCTGAGAATACAGCAGCGGTGACTGTGACTGAAGTGTAGTAACAGTGCAGTGCGCATTATAATCTATGAGATCTATGCACAGCCACAATTATAGATAATGAGATAACATAAAGGAAACACGTGTCATTACAGCTGTGTTCAGCTGTTGTCCATGCTTGTTCTGACTTGACGTGTGGACATGAGGTTGTATCCATCAGATGAAGGTTTGTGATGGTGAAGTGTGTGGACAGTGGCATGTTTCATTATTATCGTCGTACTTATGTTTTTATGCATTTAAATGTTAAGATAATCTGCACAGTTTAACTGTCACAGTGGACAAAAGTGTTTGTGGATATGTTCCGCATGCTTTGGAAGCTGGCTGGTTCTTGAGCCTGCAGCTCACCCTGCCTGTGCAGGTGTGTGTATGGGCTGAGGATGTGTATGGGCACTTTGGCATCTTTACTGATAGGTCCCAAGGGCACAGTTCGCCACTATAATTTCCATCTACATCAATAGTGTGGAAGGTTTATGCCACAACTACAATTGACTTTTTCTGTGGCTGGAAATTTTCACATTTGTGACTTCTATAAATTTAAGTGGTACTCTAAAATGCCAAAATGTATGCACTTGGGGACTGCTTTACCAGTTGACCTAGTTCTTTTGACTACTATGTTTGGGATTTTAGTTACTCTTTCTTTTCCATCCCTGGTGTGGTTTATACACCAAGTATAATTTTGACATGAGTATGGCACAGTGGCAACTAGTGTATATAATTAGTGAGTTTAATAGCTTTGGGAGTGGAGAAGCACTAGTCAAAACTATGTGGCCCTCAAAGTTGTGATGTCCAACCCCACAGGCACATCCAGTCTCATTAGTGTGCTGAGTGATCCACAGGGACACATTCACATTATATTAGTGGACTAATGCCCTCTGAGCTTAGGAAGCAAGGGAACATAAGACACTGCAGTCACTAAGCATTAAGATTACAACTGAGATACTAGTGTTCTCATATTAACATTTCAAACTGGACTTTGACAGTAACAATAAACTCGAAACTCATCTGTGAATATGACTTTTTTTTTAGCACTGATACCTGCTAAAATGAGTAGTTTCAACACTAGTTTTATTTTTGATTAGTATGTGTTTTTTAATACTTGTTTTGATAACACTATTAGATATCACATTATAAGGCTCTGGAGAGAATTATAAAAGAGAAATATACTGATTGACAAAGTGCAAAACTGTACTAAAGATGCAACTAGCTCAGCCCTTTATTATTTTGTTAACTGACATCATCAGAGGTTTAAACACTCCTAACAAAGTAAACATAGACATGAATGGACAATACTACCACAAAGTGTTTTTGTTTCTCTGGGCCCTTCTGATGATAAATAAACTTCTCGGTGTTATTCTGTATTCAGAAAGCAGTGGCAGGGTTGTCACGTTTACAGGCATGTATATGGTATACACACATCTAG